CTAATCCAGAATCCCGAAACATTTAGGCTCGAGTTACGTTACCGCTTTCAGTGCCTAGAAGATTGCAATGCAGTGGACGATATGAAAGACAAACTCGTGGAAACTGTCCATGCGGTCGGAGCTAAGTTCGGCAAGACCCGCCGCAGAAGAACACAAAAACTCTCCGATCATACTCTTAATTTCATGGCTGTTAGACGTCTTATCCGACACTGTTCCAATGATATCCCGGACGTCAGTCTAAGCGAGATTAGAATGGACCTCCAGCACCTTAAAAACGGCAAGTCTCCGGGCGAGGATGGAATTACAGCGGAGCTTCTGAAAGTGGGTGGATTACCGGTACTTGAAGTCCTTCAGAGGCTCTTTAATTCCGTCCTCCAAAGTGGCACTACTCCGGAGGCGTGGAGCAGAAGTGCGGTGGTCTTGTTCTTTAAGAAAGGCGACAACGCTCTCTTGAAGAACTACAGACCGATATCCCTTCTGAGCCGCGTCTACGTGCTGTTTTCGAGAGTCGTTACCAATCGTCTCGCACGCAGACTCGACGACTTCGAGCCTCCCGAACAAGCCGGTTTCCGAAAAGGCTTTAGTACCATAGACCACATACATAACCTTCGGCAAATTGTACAGAAGTCCGAAAAGTACAATCTGCCATTTTGCCTGGCGTATGTGGACTATGAGAAAGCCTTTGATTCCGTCGAAATTTGGGCGGTGCTACAGTCTCTTCATCGGTGCCAAGTTGACTGTCGGTAAATCGAAGTGCTGAGTGTTTGTACAGTAGGACTACGATGGCTATCCGAGTACGGAACCAGAGTACGAAACCTATCCAACTGCAGAGAGGTGTAAGACAGGGTGACGTTATTTCCCCGATACTCTTCACCGCTGCATTGGAAGACGTTTTCAAGCTACTGGATTGGAAAGGATACGGCATTAACATCAATGGCGAGTACATCGCTCTCCTTCGATTTGCCGACGATATAGTCCTTATGGCAGAATCGCTGGAGGACTTAAGCACTACGCTCAATAACATCAATAGTGCCTCCCAAAGGATAGGTCTTAAGATGAAGATGGACAAACAAAGATCATCAAATCTGATGTAATGATTTGATAGACCACAAATCCTCGCGAAAGAACATCGATTCCTACCAAGGATGATACGTGAGGCTATTGAAATTAAAAAACATCCTAATTTCAATAGAGAAGGAGGCTGGGTACTGCCACCTGCTTGGGATCCTATAATTAATAAAATTAAAACTAAACCCAAGCATACCACTGCAAGACTTCAAAATACAGTTAGTTCATTCTGCGTAGATCGGACCAAAGACAATAATTGAAAAGCTGAAGGTACTCCGGGTTAACTTTGACATCGGGACGTCAGTCACCTCAGTCCCCCGTGACCATGGGTGCTGAAAAGCACCCGAAACGTCGGGTATTAAAATTAATATAAATAAAACGCGATAAAATCCGTAAAAGTAGTTTTAATCAATGTATAGTGTTCGAGTAAATATAAGAAATCATTATCCTTATCCTAATTAAATTAACTGTAGGACAATTTTGCTCAATAATAATGCTGTGTTTTTTAATTTTCAAATGTATTATCCTGATATTAGAAAACAGGTTTGAATAAATTCATATGATAAAACATTATATTGTGGTCGTCATCATCATCATCATTATAACACTTTAAGTTCAGCCTTAAATAAAGTTTTTACCCAAGTTACGATTTTTTTATAAGAGAGAGGGCAAGCGAGTACACGGTTCACCTGATGATAAGTGATTACCGCCGCCCATGATAACTGCAATACCAGGGGAATTGCAGATACGTTGCCGGACTTTTAAAAAGGAGTAGGCTCTTTTCTTGAACGTCCCTAAGTTGTATCGGTTCGGAAATATCTCTGGGGGTAGTCGATTCCACAAGAAAGTTGTGCAAGTAAGATGCATTTGATGGGCAGGCGTGTCTTCCTATAAAAATAGTAATTAAAAAAAAACTGCAGATACCAACACGTCACAAGCGTTGCAACTGTGACACATATCCGCTCTATGAGTCAATCTATGAGAGAGGGCTATTGGTAGCAGTGGGCTGCTGACAGCTGGGTTGATAGACTCTCTCCAATAATACGCCAAATGATGTATCTTTTTTAGATTTGCCAATAAAGAACAGCACTTCGTCAGGCAGCCGAGAGGTCGCTCTAAGCGCAGTGTCATTCTCACACTGGTGATGCTGATACTTAATACAGTCTAAGAAATATTGATAGGATGTAACTATTACTGTACTGCTAGAGACCCTCCGACCGCCTGACTGTCCCATAGGGAAGGTAGGAATTAAGGACATAATTTAGCGACCTTTGATTTAAGTCAGCAGGAGAGGTCTATGGTATGCAGTTACAAAAGTAGTCATTCTTATTTTATAATAAACGGGCATATACAATTCTACATATTTGCTATCATGCGAGACTTTCAATAGTTCGGGTGTTTAGCCATTTTACCTTTTCTCAGGGCCTACTGCATAATATTATTTATATGCAAATCCGGCTATATTGACAACACTAGTAATAAATTTTAATACGTTTGGTCCAGTTAAAGTTACTTTACGTATTATAGCAGAATAGCATAATGAATACGTTTTAATAAAACTTATTTTACTGTTTTATCTCGTTTGATTTTAACTTTTTAATTCCTGACGTTTCGGGTGCTGTGAAGCGCCGGAAACGTCAAAAATTTCAAGAAGGACTGAGGCTGTTTGAAAATTCGAAAATTTTGTTTTATTCAATGTGTATATTTTTCTCATAATATTATGCAAAATAATGATAGGATAATATAATTTTCCATTTCATTTTTATAAAGGAAACTTTTAAAAATGCTTTGGCTAAAGTTGCAGCGCAAAAAAGAAAAGTTTGCTTTTAAATATCTCGTTTAACTTTGGATAATTGTCAAACAAGAACATTTGTGTACTGAAAACGTTTATGGTACTATTAACATAAAACATGGCTTCTTGATAGTTCTGGGCTATGGTATATGAAAATTTTAAATGGATTATTAATAAGCATGCTGTTGTACAAAGACATTTATCCTTGAATTTGCATCAATATCAACCCCGAGGACTAAAGGGTTTCCAGTTTTTTTCGCTTACCGTACGTAACTTGGTAGCCTTATGGTGCTACTTTATGCTGGTATTCTGATTGAGCGTGGTCCTTCCCCGGTTAAGCAATATTTACAGCAGCCTTAATACGCTGTAGCGTAAAGAAAAAATGCAATATAATAATAAACCATTTCATTACATCCTGTCATAAGTGAGGGGAGCTGAGTGTCTTATAGCGGGCTATTTCTAAGCTATAACTTTATTTTATAGAAAGTAAAGTTCTCGCGTGGCAACCTCGTACCAGTAAGCTAAGTGTAGAGCGGACCACTAGAAGGAGTAATGACCTGGGAAGATATGCAGGAAGTCGATGGAAGCAGGTGACTCAAGACCGTGCTTTGTGGCATTCCTAAGGGGAGGTCTATGTGCGAAGGGCTTTAATGATGACGATGATGATGATGATATAACTTTATTGTTAACATTTTGTGTAAATTTAAGGGATCAGTAGGCGAACGCGATGAGGAAAGGGCCGACCGTATAGCTCGAAGAATCGGTAAACGATGGAGAACAAATGTTCTCAAGTGGCAGCCTCGTACTGGCAAGAGCAGTGTGGGGCAGACCTTTATTAGATGTAGGAGACGAGAGTGCAGTGTAAGTAAGATGCAGGATGTCGTGGATGCAGGCTTTAGACCGTGGTAAGGACAACAAGTGTAACTGTATTTTTTTTATAATTTGATTTGTTATCAGGAAAATGCTGCTGCCTCCCTTCCGTTTCAGTTCAGCTCTTACGACGCCCATGGAACGATATGAGTATATTCCTACACCGCCACTACCCGGTATGCCGAAGACTCTTTTTACTGCAAACGAGGAATTCCATCTTAGTCTTCAGGGATGATAACACATCTATATTTGATTCTTAATTGAGGATAGATGTCTATGGGCCACAACATCCACTAAATATCAGGTGGACTGTGTGTTCGTTTATCACCCATATTCTTTAAAAAATATCAGGAAATGCTATGCTTTCTAGAAGTTTTTGCAAGAGCTTTGTTTTAAGGATTGGCTTACGATGAGTTGCATTGAGACGGTATTTAGTGGTATATATTATTTTGTTCGTCATTCTTGGCTTTTATTACTCTCTGAAAAAAGCTCATAGTGCGTAATGTGCCATATTGGGGCTGTAGCATCTATTGTATGTGTCAAAACAACTCCGAAATTGAGGAATATAGTAGCCGCGTGGCCACACGTTGCTTTGTATTCATAGAACGCATTGCGCTTATGGAATATTTGCGTAGGTACTTTCGTCACTCCACCGGAGATTCTAAGCGACCCCTGCCTCGCCGTTACCATAAAGTGGTGACCACCGTAGCCATGAATAGCGGACCCGCTGGGGACTAGGGATCATTTCTTAGTTTTTTTCAGCGTGGGGGTATATTGCCATAGCTGCTACGCTTGGGGAGCGGGATGGCAACTGCGTTTTTTTATTGTTATTTGAATGTTACAAAAAAGACGGTGCAACCCATCTTTCGCCTCAGTTATTCTCTGTCACCTCTTACGACACTCACGGGAAGATATGGAGTAGTGGGTATTCTTGCCCGCTACTACATGGGTAGATTGAATTATAATATTTTAATTTGTATACAAAAAAAACGTTTCTTAGGTACATTTTATTACGTAATCATACTTGCCTCACAAACTTAACATAACTTATTTTGAGAGGGTTATTTAAATATTTACTGAACACTTTCCACTGGTATAAGGCACTGAAGCGGCTGTTCCTAATTACTCTGTATTTTTCATAAAATAATGCTCAATGAAAACGCGAGAGATTTGTGCTTTTAAGCAATAGTAATAATCGATGTTTGCAATTCGGCCCATAGTAAATGGTACTAAAATGCGTTTTATATCGAAAAGCGCTGTATACTGCTGATCACCAACTGTCATCTTGTGGTGGTGGAGGTGGCGGCCTGTAAAATAAAAATTAATAAAGTGAATTGACATTAATTTCATCATGATCATCGTCATTACAGACTTCAAGTTAAATCACTGTTTGCGTAGGCCTCCCCCATTGATTGTCTCATACGCGAGATACTTGCCATAGTTATCACGCTTGCAAGCGGGTTGGTAACCTCAGTTTCTTATCATTTTGAGTATTATCAGGAAGATGCTGCTGCTCATGGTATAGTAATGACTTTACTTGATGATGATATAAATTTACACACGCATCACCTAATGTAGATTGTATAACGCTTGGTGTATTTTGGGCTTTGATACTTTTGTATCGACTGAAAATAATAGAATACGAGTATTGCCAATATTTTCAAAGAATTTCAGTGTACACCTTCTACCTGTTGTAATTAGTTTCTTCCTCTCAGTTCATATTAAAAGTTGTTATTTTCGCTAATTTCAAAAAATATAAACTATTGAATATTAGACGTGTTTATTGTAATTTTAGTTACCTAAGACGTTGTTCTTAATTAAACATTGTACCAAATGTTCCTTACACCTTTTATCTTAATATAATTTTCAATTTTAAATATAGAATACTTTTATAATAAATAACTTCGCCCATTTTTGTAAGCACCATGGACATACCTACAGAAACATATGTGAAAACTTCGTTTGTATTTGGATTGTCTCCAATACAGTCTATTAAACGATCAGCGTTATTGCTAGTCTTTATATAAAAATTAACTCTAATTTGCTTTATAGCGTCAGTTATAGCGTAGCGTTTTTATGCGCGAAATTTATAACTTCCTCTAAGCTGACTTAGATGAGGGTAGCTTCTCCAGTAATTTCCTTACCTATAGAGACACATATAATGATTAAGCGATGTAATCTGAGAATCAAAAAAAAATCAGAGTAGCTCTAATTTTGTACTCATGATAATTGTATGCAAAAACTATGTTCACAACAAATTTACTAAAAGGCACACTTCAGAAAGTATAACTATTCGCTAAGAACTGAAGCAACGCGAATTAACACACAGAGTACCAACACTTGAGCGTAATGTTCTTATTCTCTTCTATTTATTAGATTTTTGCAAGTATTCTCAACAATGTGACAAATGACCCATTTTCTTAAAAGTATTTTGCAATATTCACCACGCTCGACAGCTACTGCACCCATTTACTACTGGGTGGTAAAATGGTGGTTATATAAAAGTTCTTCTGGGTAGATAGCACCGTCATATCTATTCCATAACTTAGCAGAGTAATAGTCCTCAGAGGCCACAATGCATCTAAAGCCTTCTTTAGTTGAAATTGGTTAGTTTTTCTGTTCAGCATTTGGACGGATTTTTTACTACCAGATTACCGTTAATTCGTACCGTTGAGCCATTCGTTACGGAATAACTTTTACTCAAAATGATGCTCCATATTCACTACGCTCATTTCCATCATCACACGTCGCGACATAACTTGCGATACTATTCATAGCAAGTGTATGGGTGATTGACGATCCTCCACTTTGCGATTTACAAGAAGTTTTATTCCCTACACAACTTCCTTGTAGAATTGACTACCACGAGCGATTTTTCCAGACCAATACGATTTAGGGACCTACAAGAAAAGATCTCATTCTTTTTTTATAGCTGGTAACGCACCTGCAATTTCTCTGGTGTTGCAGTTGTTCATGTGCAGCGGTAGTCACTTACGATCAGGGCGCATGCTCGTTTGCCCCTTTTGCTTAAAAATAACTTTAAAGTCACAAATTATATGAACTAACCCTGGTGTATTCCAGTTGCCGTTTTCACAAGGTTCCGTTGCGGGAGTTCCTGGAGGGCTGGAATTAAATGCCCGTTAGTTAATAAGTTAAAAATTTTATTCATTAAAAGTGTAAAACGACTGAATTGAATGTATTTTTTAAAGTTGAAAAATATTATGATAACATCTCGGAATAACAACTGTCGCTTAAGTATCGCAATCTGCGTAACGTGCATCGCTTATCGCCGCAAGCTCAGAGTTTTGTGGTACGAAGCTCGCAGATGTTGTGAAGCGCGAGGCCGGGTAGGCGAACCGACAAGGCGGCTTATTTTATCGAACCTCGCCAAATAAACTCTAGGTGGTAGAACTTTTCTTCTGCCCAGGAGTCCGTCTGAGTGTGTACCAAACTCTTACCTATTTCTTCATGAGCAGCAGTGCTTGCATTGCTGTGATCCAGTATGAAAGTTTTTTTTAAAACGTTACCTACTCACTAGGATTTTCTCCTGTAGCGTAGGGGCAGTTTACAAACATAAATTTCACAAGGACGAACATCCAGACCTGAAACAATAATATCTAAGCCATACAAATACTTGTTTGTGCGAGATTCGAACCCGCGGCCCTTAGCGCTGTCACTCATTGCTAAGCCACTGCGCCACGGAGCCATCAACAAAAAAGGTATAGAAAACGAGTATAATTACATGCTACGAGGTAAAAGACTCCTTTTTTTTGAAGTTGGTTTCAGGTGTTCATGGGCTGCAGTAGGTTTTTACCATCAGGTGGACTGAAAGTTCCTTCGTCACCCTAGTTTTATAAAAAAAAAACTGATAACATATCACTCTGATTTTATATTAGGTCGCATAAATTAGATAGATATAGATTGCATAAATAGGTCATCTCATGCAGCACTTGCGGTGAAACGTTACAAGAAAACGTGACTTTTTTAATACCGTATTAAATTACGCCACTACGTCGATAAAGAAGTTTCACTTCTAAAACGCTTAAAATATATCAACACAACACGCCTTCGGAACACTCAGATTTATATTTATGTTTCATCGTTGAAATATGAAATAAACATTTAAAAATTTCACCTGCTATATCAGTGATTCGATCCCGAATGAATTCTGACTGCACACATGGATTTATAACGAAATTGAAAAGTCATTAACTTGTTTATCCTTTTTAATAAAATACACAAAAGCTTCTGATAGTGTGAAATTGATTTCTTTTCCGTTCGTTTAAAAAAAAAAAAACGTCGGGACTCTATTTTGTATCGTGGAAGGATTAAAATCTTATAGTATAATCTATAATTCTTAAACACTCACGCCGGTCACCCAGAGGGGTATGTAGAGACTATGGACTTGCATTTTGGTACGTTTCTGACACACCCCTCACGTCTCCTTTACATTCATATATCTACGCATACGTAGGACACTCAATAAGTTTTGAGATATACAAAAAGTATTCTGGATACTATTAACCTGTTTGCTGTTCTTTCTGAGCTAGCGGGTTAATATTTATTTTACATTTTTTCAAAATATTCTCCATCAAGCTCTATACAAAGTTCCATTTGCCTAAACCAACCCTGAAAACACTTTTGCCAGTCTTGATCTGACATGTCGAAAATCGCTTCTTCGTAGGCAGTCACGGCTTCTTCGGCGTTTGAAAAAAACGTGTCTTTTATTGTTTCTTTGACTCTTGGGAACAAAAAAAATTACAAGAAGCTAATTCAGGGCTGTAGGGTGGGTGGCTTAGAGTTTCAACACCAGTTTCCTCAATAAATGCTTTTGTTCTAAGGGAGGTATGTGAAGAGGCGTTATCGTGATGCAGCATGATTCCTCGAAGCCCGGTCTTTGGTTTTCTCTCCCGCACAGCTTGAAAAGCTTTGGGCAATGCAACTGTAGTATACCATTCAGAATTGACTGACCTACAATTTACCAGCATTGACGTCGACAAATGTCCGGTCCGCGAAAAAATACTAGCCACCATTTTTTTTGCCAACGTTGCGAGGGGCAGTTTTGCCTGTAATGTCCTTCTGAGTAGACCCATACCGATGATTGCCTTTTATTTTCCGGATCATATTGACAGATCCGTATCTCAATTCCCCTGGTGTTGCGGTTGAACATGGGCGGCGATAATCACTTGCCGCATGCTCGTTTGCCCCCTCTTCTATATAAAAAAAAATCTCGTCACCAGTAACGATTTCTGAAAAACGCCTAGATGGCTCGTTTTCAAAACATGGACGCATTTCATGCACCAGTCCACACGAGTCTGTTTTTCGCTTTCGGATAGCAAACGAGGGATCGACAACAAAGCTTCCTCAGTCCAAGATGTTGATGTAGGATTGTATGAATGCTCCCCGAACTAATGCCTACAATCTTTTCGATGTCCCTATATGTGATTTGTGGGTCTTCTCACACCAACATTTCAGTAGTTCATATATTTTCTGCCGTTACTGCTGTTTGCGGGGCCCCGGCTCTTTGGTCACCTTTAAGATTAACTTTACCCTATTTTAATTAAGCAAACCACCTCATAATTGTTGCGCGTGATTCAGCAGAGTCCCCTCGTGCTGATTGTAATCGTTGTAAACTTAATTGTTTGGTTAAACCAAATTTAAAATTATAATAGATCATAGCGCGCAAATGTTTTTGATTAAGATCCATCGTTTTAAATGAAAAGCGCGGGAAGCGTAGCAGGAAAATTAATAGAACTTTGTTTTTTTTAAGCTATTGCATAGCTTCTATCGCGGGCCTTGAGTGCGGGAAAATCCAAAAATTTTGTAACGAAAAAAACTTCACGCTCTCCGTCGGGCACGGAGGTGTGGCTTGAAGGCCGTGCATTGTCTAATGATGGTCTAACGTCGTTTCTTTTCCTCAGTCTTCGACACGGTGTTTGTGTATAAACTGTTTGGAAATTTTGAATATGAGTGAACAAAGTGCATTTATTATTAATGAAGAAAGTCACGAAAAAATAGTGAAAGAAAATGAGTGAGTACTCTATATAAATGTAGTACTAATTTTGAATTGAAAATATAATACTGCTATAAAGATAACCTAAATTTTTGATATTAAAATGAGCGATATTAAAAGTAGCCCTCTTTATATACACACAAACACACACACGCGTATAGTTTAAATTCTCAATTTAGATTCTCAATATGTATATATATACTCGATTAACCGGACTAATTGTTGCCGTTAGGGATTCGGATAATCGAAAATCCGGATGATCGAATTTGTAGTACATATGTACATACATAATGTTATGTGTTTATTAAAAACAACAATTTCAACGAAAATCAATGTTTATTAAGAAATTATTATTTTTTAATAAACATTGATTAAATTCCATGAAGAGATATAAATCTATATAACCATCCGTTACTTGCGATAAACGAGCCGCCGTCACCTAATTTTTTATTTAACTGTAATCCTTTTTCACAAAGCAAAGGGCCAGATATCATTTGCTCAGTTGATCGTTTTTGTAAAAACCAACAATACAAAGCGTCTTCTAATTGCCAATTTACTCGCGGACATAGGTCCTTATGTCCGGGACGGGGGTTTGTTAGCGCCTGATAGTAGATCGTCTTATTTCAAGCGGTTTGAAGCGACGATTAGTGAGGTGCGGGAGGGGGAGGCTAGCTGCATTTGTGCGCGCGGTCGGTCACCCCTAAAGTTGGGCGTTATAACATACAACAGATAATATATTTCATTATATATTTTTAATCTTACAACACATTAGAATAATGAACCATTGACTGTTATAATATTATATTCATTATCGTTAGAAAGCGTCATCTGTTTACGTTTACGGTCCAACCGTCGCGTCGGCCGAGACAATGGGAGTCAATAAAATACTACCTACATTCATTATGCCACAAAGATTGCGTATAGCTTACACTAATTTAAACTCTAAGCTAACTTAATAAGAGCTTATTTTACTAACACAAACGCGAAGCCGGGTTGTTCATATATTGAAAGTCTCCTTGTTTTGTCTTAGACTTATGTTAATAGAGCGTGCCATTTGAACTTAAAGACAATTAATTGGACAATAAATAATAAGTGACAAATCTTGCCGTGGAGCGTGGAACTGCGTAGTTGCGCGTCTTGTTAATATAATTGCCGTACGGCCGCCCTGACGTATGTACTGCGCGAACCTGAGTTTTTTCGACGCGGTCCGGTGATACAGTATTTTTCACAAATAGTGAGTTCGTTATAACGCGGGTTCGGTTAAATCTGGTTGAATTTGATTGGATTAACCTAAGTAACTTGAATTAATATCAAAGAAAAAGAAATACTGCACAAATAAAATAAATAATTATAATTGCATAAGTTGATACAAAATGCTATGTAATAGCTTTACCGCGGCAGTCCCCGAGTGCCACACGTCTTTTTTTTTTAAATATTGAGCAATTGGCTCATGGAGTTCTATTTTTAAATAAAACTTATGTAGTGACCTACGTACACGCTCGTCGATTAAGGGCACACCTAATCTGGTCCATTTTCAATATATCGCTAATTTGTTCAAATAACTTTCGTCTAGGGCATCCCTTCCCGACTCTACCGTTCACATCTGTAATATAAATTCGTTTTGTCATTTTTTCCTCGTTCATTGTTTTTATATGACCAAACCACCGAAGCATTTATTTCTTAATGCTGGTTACAACATCATCTTGCAAACGACACTTTTCTCTTATCACAAAATTTATGACTTTTATTCAGATTCAGCCCTAGCATACTCTTTAATGACTGTATTTATACTACTCTCGTGCTTCTTCTGTCACACTCAACTTTCACTATCATATATATGAATTGCCATACGTGTATTTTTGATACATTATGACTTTTCATAATAGAGTGTACAGACCATTCACTCTATTTCCTGCGTTCACTCGCCGTTCTATATCCTTATCATATATACCATCCTTGCTAAATACACCACAACTTGCTCAATCAACTCCCCCTATATTTTTATTTCACTTAACGTTTTCATTATCATCATCATTACAGCCCTTCACAAGTCCACTGCTGAACATAGGCCTCTCCCAAGTAATGCCACAAAGCACGGTCCTGAGCCACCTGCATCCATCGACTTCCTGCATGTCTTACCAGGTCGTCACTCCATCTAGTGGGGGGTCGCCCTACACTACGCCTACCGGTACGAGTCTGCCACTCGAGAACCTTTATTTCCCATCTGTTATCGGTTCTTCGAGCTATATGGCCGGCCGATTGCCACTTCAGCTTACTAATCCGTTGGGCTATGTCGGTCACTCTGGTTTTACTGCGGATATCCTCATTTCTGAGTCTATCATGCAGAGAAACTCCGAGCATAGCCCTCTCCATAGCTCGCTGAGCGACCTTGAGCGTCCTTATACGGCCAGCAGTGAAGGATCACGTCTCTGATCCATAAGTCATCACTGGCAACACGCACTGGTTGTACACTTTAATTTTCAGAGATTGAGGTATACCTGACGAGAAGATGTGTCGTAATTTCCCGAACGCTGCCCAGCCGAGTTGAATCCGTCGATTGACCTCTCGGTCGAAGTTGGACTTACCTAGTCGGACTATTTGTCCCAGGTAAACGTCTCGTCAACAACTTCGAGCATAGTGCTCCCCACAACTACCGGCATAGGTGTGACATGGACATTGAACATAATATTTGTTTTGTCCATGTTCATCTTAAGACCTATCAGTTGGGAGACACCATTGAGGTCATTGAGCATAGTGCTAAGGTCCTCCAGCGATTCTGCCATAAGGACTATATCGTCGGCAAATCGAAGGTGAGTGATGTACTCGCCATTGATGTTAATACCGTATCCTTTCCAGTCCAGTAGCTTGAAAACGTCTTCCAACGCAGCGGTGAAGAGTTTCGGGGATATAACGTCACCCTGTCTTACACCTCTCTGCAGTTGGATAGGTTTCGAACTCTGGTTCTGTACTCGGATAGCCATGGTAGCCCTACTGTACAAACACTTCAGCACTTCGATATACCGACAGTCAACTTGGCACCGCTGAAGGGACTGTGGCACCGCCCAAATTTCGACGGAATCAAAGGCTTTCTCATAGTCCACATACGCCAGGCAAAGTGGCAGATTGTACTCTTCGGTCTTCTGTACAATCTGTCGCAGGGTATGTATGTGGTCTATGGTACTGAAGCCTTTTCGGAAACCGGCTTGTTCGGGAGGCTGGAAGTCGTCGAGTCTGCGTGCGAGACGATTCGTAATGACTCTCGAAAACAGCACGTAGACGCGGCTCGGAAGGGAAATCGGTCTGTAGTTCTTCAAGAGAGCGTTGTCGCCTTTCTTAAAGAACAAGACCACCGCTCTTCTGCTCCACGCCTCCGGAGTAGTGCCACCATGGAGAACGGAATTGAAGAGCTTCTTAAGGACTTCAAGTACCGGTGTTCCACCGCTTTCAGAAGCTCCGCTGTAATTCCATCCTCGCCTGGGGCCCTGCCGTTTTTAAGGTGCTGGAGAGCCATTCTAATCTCGCTCAGACTGACGTCCGGGATATCATCGGAATAGTGTCGGGTAAGACTTGCTTTTGGATCGTTACTCACACTTGGGTGTGGCTCCAACGATGATGTGTACAGCTGCCCATAGAACCTCTCAATCTCACTCAAAATCTCAGGTGTCCCGGAAACGATGCTGCCACACTCAGTCTTCAGCTTTGGCAGTTGACTCTTTCTGGCAGACAGATCTCTGGCAAAGACTTTGGAGCACTGGTTCCGCTCGACCGCTTCTTTAATACGAGCAGTATTAAAGTTGCGTAAGTCTTGCCGCATGCATTTGGAGATCTGTCTGTTCGTTGCCTGTATGTTGTCAAATCTGTTGACGATTGCAGCCTCATCTCCCGTCTAACAGCCATGAGATTAAGAGTGTGATCGGAGAGTTTTTGTGTTCTTCTGCGGCGGGTCTTGCAGAACTTGGCTCCGACCGCATGGACAGTTTCCACAAGTTTGTCGTTCATATCGTCCACTGCATTGCAATCTTCTAGGCACTGAATGTGGTTACGTAACTCGAGCTGATAAGTCTCGGGATTCTGGATTAGAGCACAAGGGGGACGGAGCGTTGACTTGATTAGACGAGACCTCTACAACTTAACGTTTAGGTTCAGTGTGCCTCTAACCATTCGGTGATCGCTGCCGGTTTTCACCTTTGCGATCACTGAGACATCACTGAACAGTTGGCGTCTGGTCGTCATAATGAAGTCAATCTCATTTTTTGTGGAACCGTTGGGGCTCGACCAGGTCCACTTCTTGTGGGGCCGCTTCCGGAAGAAAGAGTTCATCATAAAGAGTCCCTCTTTCTCCATAAAGTCAGCCAGCTGCTGGCCCCTACGGTTCCGTTGCCCTACTCCAAAATTTCCTAACTTTAGCTCACCGCCTTCTCTTGTGCCTAGTTTTGCGTTGAAGTCTCCCATTAATACCGTGTAGTGGGTTTTGGAGGAATGCATGGCTCTAGAAATATCTTCATACATTTCCTCCACCTCCTCATCGGGATGTGCAGAGGTTGGTGCGTAGACCTGTATGACCTTCAGCGAATACCGTTTGGTGATTCTGAGCATCAGGTACGCGACCCTCGTCGACACTCTCCCAATCTTTACAACTTAACGTTTTACTTCCTTCTATTTCAAAAACCATCACTTTCATCTTACTTGCGTTCACTTTCAATCGCCTTTCTTTTAATGACCAGTTCTTTAAAGTAACTATCATTTGCAACTCGGCTTTCAATAACGCAAATGTGACTTTATCATCAGCGTACAAAAGGCATTTGACGGTTAACTCATCTATTCTTAACCCATATTCTTTACCTTTCAAAGTTTGCAAATAACTGTCCATAAATAACATCCACGTTGAACAACCACGGGGAAGATATACAATCCTGTCCAAGACCTTTTTGGTTGCCGAACCAGTCCGAACATGCCCCGTTGATCCTGATACAAGCATTCGAGTCCCTATAAAGAGATCCTAATGCCTGTATCAAACGAGCGCTATACCCAAATAAGTTTAGTGTTTTCTATAACACATTCCTGTCCACTAAGTCATAAGCCTTTTTCAAGTCTATGAACGCACAAAACTCTTTCAGGTTTTTGGTCAAAAACTTCTACGAGATCAAGCGTGTGGAAAAGATTTGATCTGTACACCCCATTTCCTTTCTAAATTCATCTGGCACAACCATAATTTTTCCATCAGTTTCTTTCATTACTCTTTCAATTAATATCTTAGCATACAGTTTACCTACAATGTTAATACCATGATCATTTGTACAACCCTGCTGTGACCGTTTTCCCTTATATATTGGGACTATAACTGCTTTAAACCAGTTTTACGGTACCCGCTTCAATTTCCAACATAAATTAAACATGGTGTACAGCAGGCCTGCTACCACGCTCTCTACAGCCCTTAGCATCTCCAGTGATACTCTATATTATACCCCACTGCCTTACCTGCTTTCATTACTTTCATTATTTCATCTATAGTTTTCTCCCTACCTCTTTCCATGTTTTTCAGAATTTCTAGTTCATTTAATTCATACGACTCTTCGTTCATCTCTTTAAACTCAAAACTGTCATTTAACATACAACCATTCTCGTCTCGTATAGCATAAATTCATTCTAGGTTGTTAGCTATGGTAGTTTGGATGCTTAGCGCTGCAAATTTCACAATGCGCTAGCAACCCAAATTCGATCCCCGCCACCATCAATGAAATTGTAAATTGCAACTTTCAGGGCTGATTTTACTATGTGCTCGGAGATAAAGGTAAACATCGTGAGGAAACTTGCGTGGCTGAGAAATAAGTAAAAATATTTTGAAGACGTGTGAAGTTTACCAACCCGCAAAGGGGCAGCGCGGCGGACACTTCCTTGTCCTAAAACCCTCTCAGAATTGAGAGGAGGCCCGTGCTCAGCAGTGGGACGTATACGAGTATAAGCTCTTACTTTAAATACTCTTAGGATTAAAGTATATACGCATTATACTTACGCTGTATTGAAGTTATTCAATGTCATTAAATCTTGAGCATTCATTTTTCGTTCGTATGTTCGCCATAGCTTGACACATAGTGGAGTTAAAAATATACACCATAGAAGTCCCAACACTGCACCGATAACCCACCAACCATGCTGTTAACAGAAAAAAAAATATATAAAAAGTACTAAAAAAGTATTATAGACTAGAGTATGTTTTTCACTGGATCTAGTCCCAGCCAAACTGATGATTTTACGTGTTGGTATTTTTTGCTGCATATTATGTACTTACGTCTAAGAATATTTATTTGATGTATAAACGAGTAGTGAGTAGTGACCCACCCCGCCTTCGCACGGGTACAATGTAGTTACTAATGCAGTGTGAGTATGGAGTTATTCATAATAACATGCATGCATTATACTTAAAAACCTTCCTCTTAAATCATTCTATCTTAATAAAAACCGTATCAAAATCCGTTGCATAGTTTAAAAGATCTAAGCGTAGTTATATACTATGTAGAGAATTTGGAGTGAAAGGAGTCTGAGTGTTGAATCAATACGTACTTCTCACTACTGCATATACGCCCTCTCATTTCTTTTTGCCATTTTTTATGGGATAGGATGATAAACAAGCACACAGTCCACCCCGATGGTAAGTGGTTGCTGTGGCCCATAGACATCTACATCTATCCTCGATTACGAATCAAAATGCAGATGCGTTGTCATCCATGAGGACTTAGGTGGAATGCCTCGTTTCCAGTAAAAAGGGTCTCCGGTTCTCTACACTCACCATAACCGAGACACAGCAGCATTAACCTACTATTTGACGTGAGAGCGTGGTCCTTCCTCGGTCGAGCCGACCCATTCGTGCTACAACTATATCTATACTAATATTATAAAGCTGCAGTGTTTGTTTGTTTGTTTGTTTGTTTGTTTGTTTGAACGCGCTAATCTCTGGAACTACTGGTCCGATTTGAATGATTCTTTCAGTGTTGGGTAGTCCATTTATCGAGGAAGGCTATGTTTTTCTTTGCAAAATTAGGGATCCGTAATAAGATTGCTATTTTGTAACACAAGGTGTAAAATCGAAAACCTATTTTTGCGTGCGCTGCAAAAAACTATTGACAATAAAACAAAATGATGTACTACGGGTTTGTAGATCCCATTAGACCCACAATAAAGTCCGCGAGAACATATATCTAGCTATCATGGTTTAATCACAATAACCGATTTTGTGTTCAAAATAATTATTAAATCGTCTGAAGAAAAAAAACTACGTTAAATATGTATCGTAATATTAATCTTTATCGAAATTAAGCATTACGTTATCAAGAGTATTTATGTAGAAGTAAAATACTTTTTATTTCATCTCAATCGGATATTTCGTTTAAAAGTTATCATGTGTGTAAGATGTTAAGAGTTGGTTTTGCTCCGTGGTTGGTACCTATTAATGAGTTATGGGCCATAGAGTTTTTATCAACATAAAATCCTGTAATAATCTTTTTCGAAATATATTTGTTGATGATTGTAAGTATAAGATCTTTGAAGAGTATAATAAATACATTTCTAAAATAACTCTGCTAAGGAAATCCACGCGCGCTTGATGCAAGCAAGACGAGACGCTGGCGGCGCAGCGGCGGGCGAGACGAGGAGGCCGCGCTTGCTGGCCGCCTGTCGCTCCCCCCCCCCCCGCCGCGCCGCCCGCGTGTTTTGGTTTGGTACCATGCCGCGCGGCACAGACGCGTGGTCGGCTCCCTACGGAACGGTTGAATGCAGCGTTGCGTTTTTTGAAGTCATTTACGATAATTCCTTTGACATATATTTCATACGACTTTTAATAATTACTCACCTTACGTTTCTTTTACCTGATTACTACGTTTCAGTTTATTTTAATTAAGTTTTAATTTTATACGGTTTTTCTTTTACCTCTTTACTATAATGCCTAGAAAAAGAACTCAGCTTTCTAGGCAGACTGCTACTGCAAAACGATTGCGACTTCTACGCAGTAATGAAACACCCGAAGAAAATCTGCACAGGTTGGCTACTCAACGAGCGATCAGTGAACAAAACCGTTTTAGGGAATCGAGTGTTGAACGTTCGTAGCGGTTAGTCTCAAAAACAAAATATATGTACTTCGGCGAATCGACAACGGGAATCAAGTGCTGAACGTTTCTCAACTTTTAGCCGCACAAAATTCCCGAACTTCGGCAAATCGCGAGCGGGAATCAATTACTAATTTGATATTAGCAAAAGTAAGGTCTCAGGGAAAACTAGTTTTGGCAGTAGCGTCATCAGGAATCGCTGCAACTTTATTAGCTGGTGGACGCACAGCTCAATTCCACTTTTAAACTGCCCCTAACCGTTTCGTTACAGAAAGATAGCGTGTGCTCTATTCGTAAAAATGGCCCTTTAGGAAAAGTTTTGCAAGACGTCACTTTAATAATCTGGGATGAATGTACCATGATTCATAGAGCTCATGTAGAGGCTCTAGATAGGACTCTTAGAGATATTAGAAGCTGTGATAAAATCATGGGTGGGATTACTGTCATGTTTGCTGGGGCAAACATCTAGTTCCTCTTACTACTACTGGTAAAAACCAGTAGTAGTAAGAGGAACTAGAGCAGACATTGTAAAATCTTGCCTCAAAAGTTCTCCATTATGGAAATTTGTTCACACCTTAAAACTATCTACGAACATGAGAGCACATTTGGGGGGACGTAGTACAAATTTTCCTTTGAAGTTACTTTTAATTGGAGACGGAAAAGTACCTCATTTTGAAAATAAAATATCTATTGATCAAGATTTAGGAGAAAAAGTGACTAGCGTTGAGAGTTTAATATAAAAAGTTTACCCAGATATCGTCGAAATAGAAAATAAAGATTATCAATGGATGTGTCAACGAGCAATATTGGCGGCGAGAAACAGTAGTGTTGACGAAATTAACGATTTAATTTTAACTAAACTTCCAGGGGATATAGTCACCTACACTTCTATTGATAATGTAATGGATCAAGAAGATGCAGTCCATTATTTTTTTTACGATTACGTTATTGCAAATTTCTTCGCAATAACTTAATCGTTGCAGCAGTTTTGACTGGTCCAGCGGTTGGTCAAACAGTACTTATACCTCGGATTCCAAATATTCCAAATGATTTGCCTTTTCATTTTAAAAGAGTCCAATTCCCAATTAAATTATCTTTTGCAGTAACGATAAATAAATCACAGGGGCAAACATTTAAATATGTAGGATTAGATTTACGGCAAGACTGTTTTTCGCAAGGCCAACTATATTTCGCGTTGTCAAGATCAGGTGGCGGAAACAATCAATATATTATTCTGCCACAAGAAAATAAAACGAAAAATATAATTTACTCAGAAGTACTTTAAAATAATATTTTAACCCGGTTTAAAGTGGACGGACACTCCCGCCTGTAAGTCGTAATTCTTATGTGTCTGGCTGAATGTCGAACAGATAGACAGCTATTTGCTCTGTCTGCAACTTATACAATTTAAATTAATCTATATTTTTCTTAATATTATAAAGCCGAAAAGTTTGGTTGTTTGTTATGAACGCGGTAATCTCGGGAAATACTGATCTGATATGAAAACTGTTTAAATATTCAATAGTCCATTTATTGAGGGAGGCTATAATATAGGCAATATTTTATCTCGCTATTTCCACGGAAACGAGAAAAACGCAGGTGAAACCGCGGGACACAATTAGTTAGTAATATAACCGCAGCATGGCTCTACCACGTAATAGCCATTAGTCTACCGTGCTGTTGCAATGCCTCTTGGTGGACTTTACTGTTTTACTTTGTCACCGAGCACGTAGTAAATAGGCTATTAAAATGTATATCATTAAAAATTTGACTGCAACCTTAGTCTAATGGTCGTAAACGCGGTTGTAAGTCATGAGGTCCCGGGTTCAAGTCCCGGTATGGGCCAAAATATGATAGGCCACCGTGATTGAAAATCTCAAGGACATAATAATAATAAAGCGGTCTAGGTGCGACCCGAAAAGTCCACAAGACTAACTTCTCTTTGGAAAGAATAAAAAATATATGTTTTAATATTTTATACAATTTTTCATTCGGCACAAAAACGACTTGACCGATTTTGCTCAAAATTTATTGAGGTCTAAGTTACATAATTATGCGTTAAATGAATCTGGTCCAATATCAATATAACTCGTTGTTCTCGAGATAGACGAGGCGAAAATTGAATCCGAACATATATACATATATACATACGTATGTGCACACACGGACATCCTCCTTAAAGCCATACTATTCGACTCTAAAGACCATGAAACGTGGAGATATGTTAGAATTTCCAATTTGCAAAATCGGACCAATTACATTACCGTCCCACTGGGAAGTTAAAAGAAAACACAGCTTCGGATCTGGATCGAACTTAGGTTCCTCGCGTAGTATTAAGTTTAAGACGAGAGCTTAGCCCCCGGGCTACCACGGCTATGGTATGGTAGAAAAGATTTACTTATATACCTATACCTATTTATAGACAATATAGATAAAAAGTTTAAATTATTATATAAAATAATATCTTATTCTTTATCATCATCATCATCACAATTACAGCGCTTCACAATTTTACTGCAGAACGTAGGTCTCTCAAGGTTTGCCATATAGTCATCATAACCCATCATCACTTACGGCGTGCCTTTTAGCAATTCTTCACTTTATCTACTGGTGGGCCCTTCGACACTTTTTTGATGTTTTGTGTATTATTATCTATTTAAAACATTATACATTTAAATAAGTACCTACTGGCTTATTAAAATTTATATTTAGAAATAGAGACTTAATTTCTGTTGTTTGGTGTTTTTTTTCCTTTTTCAAAAAAGCGTGTTACCCTTTTTTCGTTCCTCTAGTAGAATATAATCTTACCAGGGAGGCGACATACTTATTGCAGAGCAATGCTCTGACCGCAGCGTACACAGCAAATAGCGGTTGACATTTTGCGGCTTGTTTCCCGGTGGATGTGAGTACGTGAGACCGCCACCCCGCCGCGTGTGAGATCAGCCGAGATACGTACACTGACACTTTCTGAATGATAAATAATGAGCTTTAGAGTAAGGTATGCATAGCAATGGCGTTTGAAAATAGAAGTAGTTATGTGAAGTAACAATGGACTTGCAATCAGCTACGATCGATGCCCACATTTACATAATAGCACTAGCATTTAACACGCGTTTTGATCGTTTAAATCGCTTAACGTTGTAACGGTAATGGAGATAAGGAATGTTATATAGGAATACAAATTACTATTATATTTAGGTTGATTTGCTGGCTAAAATGCTGTTTCCGATTGTTCTCAAGTCAAGGGGAGATTTTAACTAAATAAAATAAAAGTTCAGTAACATCAACATCATAATTATCATCATCATCATTACAGCAATTCACAAAATTACTGCTGAACATAGCAGTCCTCAAGGAATGCCACAAAGCTCGGGCCTGAGCCACCTGCGTCCATCCTTTTATGTGTTTGTTAAAAATAGAGCAAAACTAATTATCTTAATAAAAATTAAACTTGTATAAACAGTAAAATCTGACTTCAAAGAAATAGAATGTAGAATCTGGAGACCACACAGTAACAGCTAGGTAAGGCTATGTTTGAATCAAGTTAAGCCCTTCTTATAATACTAATTTCTTCAATTAATAGTTTAGTAACCAAAGGAGTAATAAAAAATTTATGTATTTTTAAAGGTATTTTTGATTATTTTATATGTTGTTAATATAATTTTATTGTGTCACAGAATTATAACCTACTTCCGAAGCTTTTACGTGGAAATTATTTTATAATTTTTAGTCCTCAAAGTTGTTTTTAATTTTTATTAAAAGGTAAGGGTGAAATAAGGTGTTGCCGTTTGTATGAAACTTTTTATTTTACGGGAAGATTGAGCTCGTATTACATAAATTACATATGGAAAAACACCCAAGCTCAAAGTAAGAACAACAAAAAATTTATAATATGTGATATTTGAATGTAAACCGATTCCCGCAAATAGAAACCACAATGTCTAAAAATATTTCGCTTAGAAATGGTAAAACTAGAGTTGGCTTGAAAACAGCAGTTAAAGCTCTTAATTGCCATGTGTGGGCGGAGTCTACGTACGCTCATGCACAATTTATTACTTTTTATCGGGAACACAGTAACTAACTTACTTTAATTGCAAAATTTAGATTTTAATGTTATTGTGAATAAAACAAATTCACGGATTTAATCGCAATTAATTCAAACTGTTATATCCCGTCGTTTAAGTGATTTGCATTTTGCAATTCTTCTATGATTACTGCAAAGCACTGGCAGATAAAAAAATTAAACCAAAACCATTCAAATACAATTAAAAAAAACATTTGCGTAGATTGGACTAAAATTAATTATGCAGGATGTCGAAAACCTGTCGTGATTGTGTCTACGATAGACGTAAGATAGTCCATGGGTCAATTGAGACATCGGGAATCAAAATTTAAAATTAACCTGATAAAACCCGTAAAATTAATTTGACTTAATTCGACGTAATCGCGTAAAATTATAATAAATTACTAAGATTACCTTCTGTGCTATCACATCACCCTGGTTGTCGATATAATACTGCGCTGTGTGAATATGGCTTAATGAAATGTTCAATCTCCTTCTGTAGGGTACTAATTGTAGTTCTACTTCGGTCAATTTAAATATAAGTTCTGCTCTTAATTGCTCCAGTGGTTTTATATATGTAATATATATTCCCCCCCGTACGTTTGGCTGAAAACAAAATATTTTGTTTTTAGTGCAGCTTCATGAGCATATTTCTATTTTTCGGGGCCAAGTTTTCAAAGGACCTTCCAGCTATTTTGGCAGTCCAGTCCGATTTTGGTGTGAATCGGATCGCAGCCTAATAAATCATCTGTGGTTGCAAGAGCGAGACAGAAAGCCCAGCGGAATCTACGAACCTGTGCGTGTCGCTTTGTTTTCCTGTCGTAACTTGTTTTGAATTTGTTTACATACCTAGTTTTATTACTGCGACTACTTCTAGAATTTATACAGTCTAGAAGTAGTCGCAACATCATAACAATCTTTTGGTTTCAATCAAATTGCTCGGACTAAGCTTTTGGTATTAGATTACTCGTAAACCATTGAAGTAATATGTACTTACGTACTAGAACAGCTATTTCAAACAATTTCAAACAAAAAATGTGCGCTACTCTATGTTCACGCGGTTGGTTTTTTATCATAGAATAAATATAGGTAGAATGATCCATAAGTAAATTGTATTTATTGTTAAATAGGTAAATTATATCGAGAACAATTTTATTAAATTTTGTCATTTATTTTGTATATTATATTTGATTATTTAATATAATATTACATAATATTATATCACAATTTTATGTTAATGATATTAACATAAAATTGTGATGAATATTTTAAAAGGTATTTATGTCAAATATAAAAAAAAAACATACTAAATGTATGTTTTACAAAACTTATTAATATAAAATTTAAATTACAAATATATTTATTTAAATTAGAATAAGAGTCGTTCATTAATGCTTGACACACGAGAGTTAAAAATGGACGAATTTATTCCGCTTTGAATTTGACGTGGAAATCTAAAAATAAAATAAAAGAATAATGAGTAGATATAAATATAAAAAATTTAGTCTAATTATGATAACTTATATATGTTTCTACAAAAAAATGTGTATAATAATATATTCGTCCTATACTTAAGTACCCACAGAAATGTCGCATCTGAACAAATTAATTTCATAATCTATATTCCATGACACGAGATGGCGTCTCAGGAATAATTTGTTTTATTATTAAAATATAATATTTTTTATTGATTAAATATCTTACTAACCGATGAAAAGTAATTCCTTGGTTTTTACTGACATTTCTTGAATTATTTGTGCAATATCTAAGTACACACGACGCCATATTTTTATCAAGAGATTTTTTTAAAACCAACACAACACGTGACAACTCTACAAGCGCCTAGCAAGTGACTGATTAAAGTGCGGTGTATGCACCGCAGTTGAGTGGAACAGAGTAGTTGAATGCAGTGTCGTCTCTAGTACGTCGTACATAACAGCTCAATGTCGTAAACACAATCATTTGAAGTAACCATAATTTTACAATAACGGGTTGTTCATGAATTTTGCCTATAAAATTTTTATCTTTTTAACTTTTACTGAAAACATGTTATGAAGTATAACGTTACAGAAGCCACTGACTCGACTGTATAATTGTTATTGCTGGTCAAACATAGATATCATACAGTTTCAGTCAACGGACATTGTTTTGACCACGCTATGTATAAGCCGTTGCATTTAGAATAAAATGCATTATAGAACTGGTCGTAGTCACGTAATCACTTAGTTAAGTCAGTATTGCAATGAATTGGCATCGGGACATATTTTGTAGTTTTAAAAAAGCTTCAGTACCGCTCCCGAAACTTAACTACCTACGCTAAGCTACGGTGGTAACAGATAGATAAATAGTCAATTCAAAGCTAATCTCACCCAGTAATTGTAGTTAACTGTGTTCTTTGGAGTAAAATTGAAGAAATTGCTGCATAGCAATAAGACCGCCTTTCGTTTTTCTCTTTATTTGTTTCTTATTATGTTGTATTTTTTAGTGTTCAATAAAGGGTATTTTATTGTATTGTATTGTAAAATTATTATTTTATTTTCAAAATAATGTCAGGAGTGTTTTCTAAGTTTAAAAGGAAAATATGTAACGAAAAAGATTGTTTCAAGATGAGTGGGAAACGGATTATTTTGTTGTGCCAAACAAAAACAATGCAGCTACTTGTTTGATATGTCGTGAAAATATTATATTGAAGAAATACAATATTTCACGTCATTTTACCACAAAATATAAATCTTTTGCCGAAACATTTGCTCCTGGATCTTCCGTGCGAGATTGGAAAACAATTTTTTTAAAGAGATCACTGCATCAACTACAAAATGTTATGTCTGTGGCAATATCACAAGACTCCGCGGAAACTCTGACATCATACGAAAATTTTTACATTCTTGGTTTACATATGAAACCATTTACTGATGCAGAATTTATAAAGGAATGCTTTTTTAGTGCTGCTAATATACTTTTTGATAAATTCAGTGTGGCCGTGGAAGGAAAAGGGGAGATCTCCCGCCGGGCAAGGTGTTCTGCCCGGGGGAGCGGCCAATACTCCGTGTGATAGTTCGGAGATGATCGTTCGGTGTTGTGATATAATATGCTGTTTATAATTCGGAATGTTGATAGCGTGATTTAGGCTTCGGTGTGTTTCGCTTGTGGCGCGACGACAGCGCCGCTACATTCAGTAACAAAAAGCAAATACTATCTAATATAAAAAGAATTAAAGCTCTAGGATTCAACTTGTATGAGGCGTATTGAAGACATTTCTAAACTTATTTGCGATGATATATTGGTTAACCTATTGAACGCTGCAATGAAGACAGTTATCAATATTATCAATTATATACGAGCAAGAGAATTGAACCATAGAAGATTTTTAAAAGCCTTCTGGAAGAACTGGGAAGTCAGTATAACGTCCTTTTATATAACTCGGTGCGATGGTTTAGTAGAGGAAAAGTTTTGGAAAGGTTTTTTTTCTCTTTACGCCATGAAATAATACTATTTTAGAGCAAAATAATAAAGTGTACTCTGAATTACAAAATGATGAATGGTAGTTTATTATATGTAGATGAATGGTATGATGAATGGTAGTGTATGCCTTTTTATGTGATATTACGGAAAAACTCAATAATCTCAATCGGAGTTTACAAGCTGAAAATAATATGGTCTTCAATATGGCAAATAAAGTGTTTGCATTTGAGGAAAATTTCATAAAAAATACAGAAAAAACAGCTGCAAATAATTCAAACTATAATAAAAACCACAGAGGATGTTACTAACATTTCGAAAGAAAACTGCTCCATCATTTCAAATTATATAACTGCACATTATAACGAATTTCGAAAAAGGTTCCAAGATCTAAGAAAAATAAAAAAGTTTGTTTTTACAGAAAATCCATGGCATTTAGAAACAACGGCTATCTCAGATTTGGCTTCAGTTTTAAAATGTAATTACTCAGAGTTGTTTGATGAATTCATCAATTTTAAAAACGTCACTAATCTAGAAGTTCTGTTTAAAGAAAAAAGGACAAACAGGAAATATGTGGAATTTCGGAGTATTGTTTCCCAAAATTAAATATTCTTTGGACCTAAATATGTGTGCGAATCGTTTTTTTACAAAAATGAATCAAATGTGAACCCAAAGAACGTGTACAGAAACAAACTTACGGATTATCATCTGAATGATGTAGCGACAAAGGATAGCATGTCGCGACAAGCTAGATCTTGAAAAAGTTTAAAAAAGTGTTCACCGTATAAAAACCGCATTAAAACATATAAACGTCTTTGTCAAAACTTCTTTAAAAAGTAAATAAATCGTTAACTTTACGTACTAAACGAATTACGTTAAGACCTAAATAATTTTTGCTTGCGGCTCTCGACACCATGACTGAAACGTGTTTGTGGCCCCTATAAAAAAAAGTTTAAGTATGGCTGCTTTAAACTAAAGCGACCAAGACAACAATTACATTTTTACTATCAATTTAAAAGATTTTCATATAAATACATAAATTAAAATATATAAAAGTGGAGAATCTCCTTTGGATAAATATATTAAATACTTAATATGTATTCCGCGTTATAAGAAAGTGTCTATTCTTCAGATTTCATTCCAATATCTATGCGTATGTTTCTTTTAATTTTTTGCTGAGTAAAGGCATGTCACGTGTGAAAGAAAACTTCGTGACCGGAGTTATTTATTAACATTATAAAACAAAAATGGTGAAATTGGTACCTACGTAAATGTTTGGAATCTTAACTTTTTGTTAATTCAAGCTCGACTATGTAGTCAACAGCCCTGTGACTTATGCGTAGCGCCAGTAATTACATCCTCTATAGATTGCCTCATAGGTGCCTGTCATAGGTACATTGCAACCGTAGTTTTTTTTATTATTTTGAGATGTTATCAGGAATATGCCGGTGCTAGTCTCCTGTTTTAGTTCCATTCGATGCCTTTTACGACACCTACGGGTCGATATGGGGCGATGACTATTCTAACACCGCCAGTACATGGTTAATATGGGCCAAAAATAATTTTTTGACACTAGATGGTAGCTCATATACAATATTGCTTAATTTTTTTGTAGGATAGGGTGACAAACGAACACTCAGTCTACCTGATGGGCTGCTGTGGCCCATAGTCATCTACATCTATCCTCAATTACGAATCAAAATGCATATGCGTTGTCATCCGTGAGGACTAAGATGGAATGCCTCGTTTCCAGTAAAAAGGGTCTACGGTTCTCTACACTCACCATACGAAACACACAAGCTACTATTTTACGCTGGTGTTCTGTGAGAGCGAGGTCCTTCCCCGGTCGAGCCGACCCATTCGTGCTACAACTATACTACTAATATAATTGCAGCATGGCTCTACCACGTACCACGCTTAATACTGTAAATTTATGACTATCGTACCGTTAAGAATTATGTAAATAATAGCGATCCGCCCCGGTTTCGCACGGGTGATCGCTGGATCTCGACAACAGCGCTACCTATCGGGTCCTAAATACAAGGACAGAAGATATATACAAATATGTATTGGATCATTTGTATAAAATTGTAATACCTAAACTCCCTAGTCTTCCAGATGTGTTTAAATCCGAGACTTGAGCTGCCACATTGTCTAATTGATCTTCCAATGCTGCTAAGTCCTTTCCAACAACTGGGTTGTTGTACTGCATCCTAAAAATAAAAAGTTAAAATAAAATAAAAACTCTCGCTTATTACCACTTACCGGTAAATTTACATTTTAAAGAATTAATAACCCTTACAAAAGTATGTAGAACCCTTCCAAATGATGTGTTGTGCAAATATAAACATTCCATATCAAATTTCATGGTGCAAATACTTCTTCCTTAGTAAAAGTGTGCACAATTTACGAGTACTTTGTTATTTGTGCTCGTATTAGTTCTTGTGCAATGGCAAATTATACTATGCCTTCTCCACCCTCGACCTAAGCGTATTTTGGCCTACTGTATCTCATATAAACGTGATATAGCAAGTACTGGCACTAGTGCAATATTGTTCATGAATATAATATTTTTATTCAAATAGTTGTTCATATAATACTAGATTGAACCAAATTTTCATCAAGTTGCAAAACGCTATTCAATTTGTATTAGCTTAAAAGGTGATTACGTTAAAAATAAATACAATTATATGTACTTATCCTAGTTTCATTGCATCAGATTACCTCCATTGCCTTTTCAAAAAATCATTGATCAACCTTGTACTTATTTAAAAGGCACTTTTTATTTTCCAGTGTTTCGGAAAATACCTCTGTGCTGGGAAGATCCAGCAACAAATCCTAAACGACGACTTTTTATGGATATGAGAGGAGTGAGCTTCAGATTCGTGCGAAGTAGAAGTCCGTCGTCTCTTCCTACCCCTCTGGTTGATATGAGTGAGAGTTTATATATGTATGTATGTTAATATTTTTATGGGTAAGTATAAAACATAAACAATTCCTTAAACGCCTATCTGTATTGCGTGATCAAATGGCCATAGACATATTTTTAGGCGCTGTGTCAGCATCGTAGGTATTCGTAAGTATACCATTAGAAATTAGAAAATATGAATACAAAAAAATACACGTTTGCTGAACTATACCTAAAAATATTTTTAAAATATGTAAATAAAATACATTTAGCAAAACTATATTGCCATTTTATTTTTGTCCTCAGTTGTGATTTTGCATCTGTAGCTTTCTTTGTTTAAAGTTCGTTGTAGGTGTCCGTGGGCTAAAGTAGCAACTTAATCTTAGTTGGACTGGAAGCTCACTTGACACTTCAATTTTAAATAACAAAAATATTGACCTGTAAAGAGGCAGATTCACGTTGGATTTTATTAGAATTTCATTAAGTATTCTGTTAAATGGAACAGATATAGATCTAAGGAAGCTGACGTCGACAGATGATGACAATCGTCCCAGATCCGCTTGCAGCTCCTCCCATTCGAAGTAAGATGTCTCTTTGTTAACATCCAAGATTCTGTCGAGTTGAAAAACGACGTACGCTGGTCGATTTCTCTCACAGTCTCTGAAAATATAAAACATGAGGAGGTAAGCATTTTCATTTTCTTTCAGGTAAACTATGTAAGGAGATATTTAAACAATTTTTATAAGAAAATATTATACGAGTTTTACTTATTTTAGGTAACTTAATATTAACTTATTTTACTGGATGTAACTCTCTCTTTTGGGTCAAAATTATTACTATTTTTACCTAAGAAATGGATAAACAACGAAAAATAGTGTTAATAAAAAATAAAAAAGTGTCCTAGTAAGCCGAATCCGTCGTAATTCACAGTATGCGAACTTGGTTCGACTCCCGTCGACACCAACGAAATGGATGCTGATTTACCATGTGCTTAACGTAAGCAAATAAACATATTTCAAAGCCATGAGAAGTCCCTATTTTAGACCGACCAGTGGGACGTAGAAACCTAAGTACGAGTATACATATTGGAACTATACTTTACAAAACGTCCAAGGTATTTGAAGTGATATTTGGGTTTATTGCTGCTTATGGCGTTTCACTGGTCGATTTCAAACACACTAACAAATTCCGATTTAAGCCATAAATTTATTCCCTACTAACATAACAATCTGCCGTTGGTTGAGAATATTCACTACCCCATATCTTCCCGTGGGTGTCGTAAGAGGCGACAGAGGGACAAAAAAAACAAAAAAAAAAAACAAAAAGGAGATGGGCAGCAGCATCTTCCTAATAACAACAATAACATAATAAAAAACTGCGGTTGCCAACCCGCTCGCCAAGCGTGGCAACTATGGCAAATATCCCCCCATGAACAACGACGCAAATAAACGGCCCCCAGTCCCCGGCGGCCCCGCTATTCCTGGCTACGGTGCCGACCATGGTAACGGCGGGGCAGGGGGTGCTAAGAATCTCTGGTGGAGGTTCGGTTGCCACCTACGACGACTCGACCTGGCAACGTATAACGCACGCATCCTGAGGACTGACGAGAAGATATTGGAGCTGGAAGAAGAGGTAGACAAGTTGCGCTGGCATATTATTGGATTATTTGAGGTCCGAAGAGAGGGGGAGGACACGGTAATCCTCGAGTCCGGCAACTTGTTCTATCACCGGGAGGGCGACCATCTGTCCCAAGGAGGTGTCGGATTTATCGTCCACAAGTCTCTCGTCAACAACGTTGTAAAGATTGGGAGTGTGTCGACGAGGGTCGCGTACCTTGATACTCAGAATCACCAAACGGTATTCGCTGAAGGTCATACAGGTCTACGCACCAACCTCGGCATATCCCGATGAGAAGGTGGAGGAAATGTATGAGGATATTTCTCCAAAACCCACTACACGGTGTTGATGGGAGACTTCAACGCAAGACTAGGCACAAGAGAAGGCGGTGAGCTAAAGTTAGGGAAATTTGGAGTAGGGAAACGGAACCGTAGGGGCCAGCAGCTGGCTGACTTTACGGAGAAAGATGGACTCTTTATGATGAACTCTTTCTTCCAGAAGCGGCCCCACAGGAAGTGGACCTGGTCGAGCCCCGACGGTTCGACAAAAAATGAGATTAACTTCATTATGACGACCAGACGCCAACTGTTCAGTGATGTCGCAAGAGTGAAAACCGGCAACGATCGACCGAATGGTTAGAGGCGCACTGAACCTAAACGTTAAGTTGGAGAGGACTCGTCTAATGAAGTCAACGCTCCGTCCCCCTCGTGCTCTAATCCAGAATCCCGAGACTTTTCAGCTCGAGTTACGTAACCGCTTTCAGTGCCTAGAAGATTGCAGTGCAGTGGACGATATGAATGACAAGCTCGTGGAAACTGTCCATGCGGTCGGAGCTAAGTTCTGCAAGACCCGCCGCAGAAGAACATAAAAACTCTCCGATCACACTCTTAATCTCATGGCTGTTAGACGGGAGAGGAAGCTGCAATCGTCAACAGATTTGACAGCAAACAGGCAACTGAACAGACAGATTTCCAAATGCATGTGGCGAGACTTACGCAACTTTAATACTGCTCGTATTAAAGAAGCGATCGAGCGGAACCAGGGCTCCAAAGTCTTTGCCAGAGATCTGTCTGCCAGAAAGAGCCAACTGTCAAAGCTGAAGACTGAGTGTGGCAGCATCGTTTCCGGGACACCTAAGATTTTGAGTGAGATTGAGAGGTTCTATGGGCAGCTGTACACATCATCGTTGGAGCCACACGCAAGTGTGAGTAACGATCCAAGAGCAAGTCTTACCCGACACTATTCCGATGATATCCCGGACGTCAGTCTGAGCGAGATTAGAATGGCTCTCCAGCACCTTAAAAACGGCAGGGGCCCCAGGCGAGGATGGAATTACAGCGGAGCTTCTGAAAGCGGGTGGAACACCGGTACTTGAAGTCCTTCAGAAGCTCTTCAATTCCGTCCTCCATGGTGGCACTACTCCGGAGGCGTGGAGCAGAAGTGCGGTGGTCTTGTTTTTTAAGAAAGGCGACAACGCTCTCTTGAAGAACTACAGACCGATTTCCCTTCTGAGCCGCGTCTACGTGCTGTTTTCGAGAGTCATTACGAATCGTCTCGCACGCAGACTCGACGACTTCCAGCCTCCCGAACAAGCCGGTTTCCGAAAAGGCTTCAGTGCCATAGACCACATACATATGGACAGATTGTACAGAAGAGAAGAGTAAATACTTTGTGGCGTATGTGGAGTATGAGAAAGCCTTTGATTCCGTCGAAATTTGGGCAGGTGCCACAGTCCCTTCAGCGGTGCCAAGTTGACTGTCGGTATATCGAAGTGCTGAAGTGTTTGTACAGTAGGGCTACGATGGCTATCCGAGTACAGAACCAGAGTTCGAAACCTATCCAACTGCAGAGAGGTGTAAGACAGGGTGACGTTATATCCCCGAAACTCTTCACCGCTGCGTTGGAAAACGTTTTCAAGCTACTGGACTGGAAAGGATACGGTATTAACGTCAATGGCGAGTACATTACTCACCTTCGATTTGTCGACGATATAGTCCTTATGGCAGAATCGCTGGAGGACCTTAGCACTATGCTCAATGACCTCAATGGTGTCTCCCAACGGATAGGTCTTAAGATGAACATGGACAAAACAAAGATCATGTTCAATGTCCATGTCACACCTATGCCGGTAGTTGTTGGGAGCACTAATGCTCGAAGTTGTTGACGAGTACGTTTACCTGGGACAAATAGTCCGACTAGGTAAGTCCAACTTCGACCGAGAGGTCAATCGACGGATTCAACTCGGCTGGGCAGCGTTCGGGAAATTACAACACATCTTCTCGTCAGGTATACCTCAATCTCTGAAAACTAGATTATACAACCAGTGCGTGTTGCCAGTGATGACTTACGGATCAGAGACGTGGTCCTTCACTGTTGGCCGTATAAGGACACTCAAGGTCCAGCGAGCTATGGAGAGGGCTATGCTCTGAGTTTCTCTGCGTGATAGATTCAGAAATGAGAATATCCGCAGTAAAACCAGAGTGACCGACATAACCCAACGGATTAGTAAGCTGAAGTGGCAATGGGCCGGCCATATAGCTCGAAGAACCGATAACCGATGGGGAAGAAAGGTTCTCGAGTGGCAGCCTCGTACCGGTAGGCGTAGTGTAGGGCGACCCCCCACTAGATGGAGTGACGACCTGGTAAGACATGCAGGAAGTCGATGGATGCAGGTGGCTCAGGACCGTGCTTTGTGTCGTTACTTGGTGGAGGCCTATGTTCAGCAGTGGACTTGTGAAGGGCTGTAATGATGATGATGAACATAACAAGCATGAAGCTTCCGGAGTAATATCCATGTAAATAGAGAATATGTTAGTTTAGTATTGAACAAACATCATCAACAACATCATTTAAGGCGTTCAATTTTAGTTTCTGGGAGTAAAAACGTTTTGCTTTATTTGAGCATCAGTGATATCAAATGGGTTGCACAAAATGTTTGTGATGTTGCGACACTGATTGCGTTTTCTTAATTAGTGAATACTATGAGTACCTTTGTTTACTCTTAAAGTGATCCAAAAATGAAAATAAAAATGATTTATTTGACAATTTGCACCTTAACAAAAAAATTAGCAACGGTTTTCACGCTAGGCGTGCAGACCTGTATCGTGAGAGCCATACATATATTTACACAATTCTATAGCGATTTGTTTAGTTATTTTAATATAGCATAACGCTTATTGTAATAATACTTAAATAGAATTAATAAATATAACCAACCTTAAGACATCCCTTATAGAAACATCTATAGTAACATTTTCTAGATCTCTAAATAGTACATCAAAAATTCCTTGGTGGTTATTCAACAATGGCGACGGTCGGTCTAAAAGCTTTGAGAGAGTTTTATATTGTGTAGTGTCCCACATTGCATGACATACGTATACCTGTATGAAGAAAATAAACATCAGATTGTGGAATTATGGCATAAATTAGGTGTATTTTTGTGTATTAAATTCTATGAGGTGCAATCAATTAATTTCTATTAATTCAGCTGGCAGACGTTGTTTTGCCTTTTGCGGTAGATGGCGCGATGAGTTTCACTCCGAATTCACTTCAGACTTTTTACGGACTAAATAATATAAAATTTACAAATAAATTATCACACCTATCGAGTTTAAATTTTGTAATTTTTGTTACTAAACTAACATGTATATTGTAAGATTTTAAACATTATCAATAAATACATTCATTAATAACTTGACTACAGCACCACCTATCGGATCCTAGCGTAGCTGTGAATTACGTCACGACAAAACAAATGTATTTATTAAAATAAAAATTGCAAACGTCGATAAAACAAACGATCAAATGAAAAAAATCAACCATTTTAAGAAAAGAAGAAAATATTTTACAGGTAAAATATAATTTTGTGCTTAAAATATTAATCCATTTTTTAATTCATAAATGCTTAAAAGGATTGTTAATTTTGCCTAGAATCAATATTTAGTGTTACTACGTCTAGCTCTTGGAAATATGTACTTTCAGTCTCTTTGGCATACTTCTAATAAAGTTTTTAATAAAACCTTAAGAGATTGGTTTCCATTCTTCTTATAAAGCGTTTATAAAATCTCTCAAATTAGCGGGGGAAGGATTTCTTTACTTAATTTATCTTCCAAACTTATCTCCTATATGCTCTTTGGTGTAGTGACGTACTATCCGGTCTAACCTAAATTTAATGTTAAATTCAAAAGATGGAAAAAAATTCGCAGTATGAAAAAAACACAACATTGCGAAATAATTACATTAAAACAATAAATTCGAATAAAAAAAAATTCTAATTTATTTAATAGTAAAATAGAAATTGGTCTATGAGTGTAGAAAAAAAAAGATAAAGATAACCATCGCAGACAGGAAATTCTCTTTTAATTACATGACACAACAGTGACTTAAATTGGTTCCTGTAGTGTCATGTAATTTGCTATCAATAAAAATTAAAATTGTACAATTTTAAATATGTAGGAAATCGAATTTTTTAATACTACTGTCAGCGCCTAAACGTAATAGAATAGCAAATTTTATACTGTAGTTCTTGCGGATGTAATTTTTATGTTGATTTTGAAATCTGTTGTTAAATTAAGTAGAATAAACGGCAACGATCACAGAATACAAGCATAAAATAGGAGCATGATTCTGCTATGTTTCGTATGATTGACGAGAACCGGACACTGTTATAACGGTATTCCATCTTAGTCCTCGATGTCGACAGCGCATTCGCGTTTTCATACACAATCGAGGATGGATGTTAGTGTCCATGGTCCACTTTACATAAGATAGATTGTGTCATTCTTGTAAAAAGAAATCTAAGCAAAATTGCTTGCGACATTATCCATGTTTTGTAGCATACAGTTTACATGTTAATAAAAGTTCTTAAAATCTAAATTCTATAGTCTCTATATCTATCGCCTCCCATATTGCAAAATCTGCAAATCTGCGTCTCTATTTATTATTTCTTTGTTTTAACCCCTGACGAAAACAGAGGGGAGTTATAAGTTTGTAGTGTGTATTTGTGTATCTGTTTAACTATGTATCGGTGTATTTATATATCTGTATCTGTTTATATAGTACGTGAGGGTACGAGTAATATGGTCATTCGGTTAATATGGTTGATTTCTTATAACTAAAAAACTATTTGCATAGAAGTCGTTATGATGAGCTCTTCATCAGTCAATCAAATAATAAAGAGTCAAAAGAACGCAGCTTTATCGACGCCATTTTAACAGTTGATATATAATAGTAAATATTTTAGTAAATTTTAGTATGGCGTAATGTAGTTAGTTTTTATTAAGTTGATTTTCGAAGTGTTCCTAATTATTGCCAAAGTTTATTTGCTATTATTTTTAATAAGATATTAGTTATACTATACGATTATGTGTTTTTGTATCTATTCTTGTACTAGTTTTCGTTATAAAGGGCAGCAAAGCTTAAGGTAAACATATTACCCTCATGTACCTTAGAATCATAGCAGCTCGGGTGAACGCTTTTGATTAAATCTTTTTCGTTGGAAAGGTGTTTCAATCGAGAGTGTTCTTAGCTATATTTCAAGAAAGCCTGTTCTTATCGAAGTTTTTGTTTCCAAGGTTTTTTAAATTTTTAGTTATAGATTTCAGGGAACATTCTCGTTTGCGTCATTTATTTATGTCATCATAGGTATCATACGGTATTGTTATTATTGATAAACTTAATTGATTTTGGTCTTATCTTTTATGTTTCAGTATTTAATTTCTCTCTTTAATGGTTTACAAATATATCGATTAAGAACATAATCAACAATACGAGGATTATATGCCAAAAACTAAATAGTCAAAAAATTTTTGTTATACTGGAATCGATAGTTTGAAAGTATTCTATTTAATTTGTGTACGCGTACATTTTTAGATACGTCTAAACTAATTGAAAAATATCTCATTATCGGTGACGAATTTTCCTGAGCACTCTTCTTAAGACACCTCAGATATTACTAAATAAAACAGCGGGTCAATTTAATATAAAATTGTTTTCCAGAACAAATTTAGTTTACAGCGGCCAGTATATTGCGGCGAGAATATTATAGGTATAATAGGGCAAAATTATAGGTAGTTCACGAGTGTGTGTGCATGCACAGGTGCACTCTCTATTTCCTCATTCTCAGAATCTGAAGAGACGGCAATCCGAAACCACTGGAGATACTAGATCAGGCGGTCGACCATCGGCTTTACGTGCTTTCTGAGGTACGGGGGTAAAATATTGCCTCCGAGTTGCTACTAAGAATTTCTTGAAAGAAAAATGTAATAACTGATTTTCACCCGACCTGAGTTTGAACCCGGGATCACATGATGAAAACAATATATTTAATAACGTTTTAAAATTTCTATATATGTACAGTACTTTATCAAACTCGGTCACTTTATATTCTATTTAACTAGTATGGTCTATACAAAACAAAATAATAAAATAAAAAATGTACATTATATACCTCGGCGTGGCCTGCGATGAGAAAGACTGCGGAAATCACGGCCCATAAAAGCAGGGAAGCGAAGCATAACCAAACCGCAGATCTGTAAGTATACTGAAAAATGGATCAGTATTTCCGGCAAGATATTTGTTCTAAGCCTGTTGATGACGTAACAAATAGTAAGAATGAGTGAATTTTGTACTTTATGTTACCACTAATATACTTCTACTGTTAGAGCTCATTACACGTCCACTAATAAACATAGGCTCCTTAATTTGCCGCAAAGTATGGTCTAAGCTACTTGCGTCTAGGAGATGCCACTTTAGTATATTAACACCTATGGCCACAGGGGTTTTTTTTTTAATTTTTGTTTCGATCTATACAGTATGAACGTAGATTTCTGAAAAATGTATGAAAAAATTCAATATGTGGTAACCGCGGTTAACTATGACATCTGGACGTTGAATATCTCAGTTCCTCCCGTGACCATGGGTGCTGTAAAGTGCTCGAAACGAGGGGAGTATAAAAAAGTTAAATATACGCGATAAAATCCGTAAAAACTATTATTATTTAAATGTGTAGTGTTGATGTAAATATAAGAAAACACTATTGCGTTTGCTAGTACGAGGCTGCCACTCTACGACCCCTTTCTTCCCCATCGTAAGACGAACAGATTTAATGTTACCGTAATATTTATAAAGTCATTTTGCAATATTACATAGTTTCATACGAACAGCCCGCTGACGGCTGTGCTTTAACTAACTTGTTCAGCTGTATTCCCTCTAGACGGCTGACCCTATTGTGTAGTGGCGGTTTAAAAATATCGATTGCAACATATCGTTCCGCAAGTGTTGTAAAAGACAAATTGAAACAGGAGATAGGCCGTAGCATCTTCCTGATAGCAAATCATAATATTAAAAAAACTGCGTGTCAAATCACATGCCAAACGTGGCAACTATAGCGAAATCCCCCTATGAAGCAATCTATTGCGGAGGCCTATGTTATCAGCGGACTTACATAAGCTGTGATGGATGGATGGATAGAATTTAGTTTGGTTCAGTTATGTTTATTTTTAAGAATAATTATTGAACATTCAAAAAAGTTGTTTTCTTATTTGAAGTATCATCGTGCAACATTAATGTCCTTTAAATATTCTTTTTTTTATCGATTAAGGGTGACAAACGAACACACAGTCCACCTGATGGTAAGTGGATGCTGTGGCCCACATAAATCTACATTTATCCTCGATTAAGAATCAAAAGGTAGATGCGTCGTCTCCCATGAGGACTAAGATGGAATGCCTTGTTTCTAGTAAAAAAGGGTCTCCGGATCTCTACACTCAAATTCGTATTTACACAGCAGTATTAAGCTGCTATTTTACGCTGGTATCCTGTGAGAGCGTAGTCCTTCCCCGGTCTGGCCGACCCATTCGTGCTACAATCGTAATATAGCTGCAGCGTGGCTTTACCGCGTCAAAATTACGCAAGGCTTAAACATATTGTAATACTAGAGATGTATAGTTCCACATAATGATTTCGACAAAGGGTTGTAAAGTACAGGCTTCGTAGTTACACTTTAGTACATATTGATACATTAATTAAAGAAAAATTAATTAAGCACAAGTTTTTTTAGAGAATCAGGGTGACATAGAGTACACAGTCCACCTGATGGGAAATCTTCGATAAAGAATCAAATTGCATATAATGTATCCCTATAATGTATTCCTCGTTTCCTGTATAAACACTCTCCGGCTTTCTACAATCGCCATACGAAACATTTTTCTTTCCTGGTTGAGTCGATCCACTTGCAGTAATCATGACCACACCCTTCACACCAACATTTTTAAGCTGCTGATTGTGCATTTGTTGTGTTTTAAATACGGGCATAAAACATCATCTTTTATTTATAATTGATTTTACATATAATGAAACTCTCCCACAAGCATCAAGAAAATAGTTTTAATTATACCGGTTTAGGTTTTCAACATTGAAAAACTATATAAATAAAAATTAAATAAATAAAAATCTAGATTATTTGAAAATTTGTGTCAGCAATAGACATTTTATGCAACCACGAGACATTGTCAAAGCTTCTATTAAACGTGGGTAAGTACTTACACTTGAAGTGTCTTCTTAGCGTGACTTTTGGATTTGCCGCATCCACATAGCATGGCAATTAGTATGAGTGTCATCCCAAAAGAAAAAGCTATGGTGCATGCTATAAAGAAAAGTAAATAAACATAATCAGATGCCATACATACGGAAAACTTAATTTAAGAGCAAATGCAAATTTAAGTTAATTTAAAGTAATATTTTATATTTTAGTAATTGTTATTTTATAAATTAGCAACTGTACAGAATATTGATGGATTTTATATTCATGTAAACCCTCTCAGATGTGAGAAGGCCTGTGCCCAGCAGTGGGACGTATATAGGCTGTAACTTTATTTTTATATTCATGTATAATCTACTGGAGAGATTGTTTTTTATATGATAAGGGTGACAAACGAGCATACAGTCCAACTCATGGTAAGTGGTTGATGTGGTCCATTGAAGTCTACATATATCCTCGATTACGAATCAAAATGCAGATTTGTAGCGTTTACAGCGTTGTTACCCGTGAGGACTAAGATGGAATGCCTCGTTTCTAGTTAAAAGGATCTTTGGTTCTCTACACTCACCATACGAAGTACAACAGCACTCAGTTGCTATTTTACGCTGGTGTTCTGTAAGAGCGCGGTCCTTCCCCGGTCGAGCCGACCCATTCGTGCTACATCTATACTACTAATAATATAGCTGCAGCGTAGCCCTACCAAGTTAAAAATTGTATATAAATTCCGAACACAATATACTATAAAACACAATTATAGTATTTTATGATTCCAACAGCGGTCGCGATTTGTATAATACGAATATAGCATATACGCTGCCATGGGTGACAGTGCATCTGTATTTTGTTTCGTAATGGAGGAGATGCCCACAGATGGCCCACAGCAACCACTTACCATCAGGTGGACTGTGTGTTAGTTTGTCACCCTATTCTATAAGAATACTTACTTAAATTTATTACTAAATAAAATAAATAATAAACCAACAAGGAACTACTTAAATAAGAATGCTGTATAAAGTATGTTTTTAAACAAAATGGATAGTCATCAAAATGTATATAAAAATAACAAGAAAACTTTATATTTTTCAATAGCGGAAGATTATATTTATATCAAGGTGAGATGTTTCAATTTTATGAAAATAATTGACTCAAGGTTAAAATGATTATCTTTTATTTAAGTTAAACATATTGAATCGCTATTGAAGCAAATAAATGGAAATGCAATTTGCTAGGTAGCTTTGATTGCTGGTATTGGAATTTAGTTTTATTAAAATACAGACATTTGAATTTTATTTTAATACATTACACATTCATTATTATTGATATTCATATTCATATTATCCAATAAACTTAATAAACCGTCTAAATGGGAATAATAGCGTATAAATACTTTATTTAATACTTTTCGAATTGGCAATAATTCCTATAATGAATTGGTAATAACCTACAAATAATCATACATACATAATAGGTGGTCATAGATTTAATAGAGCGCTGGATTTTGTTGTGGGACATACAAATATTTTCACAAATTAAATAGTTTAAATTTAACATTTTTTAATAATTATAATAAATTATATTCGTAAATTTGATAAAATTTATAACATTAAAACTCAAAACATATTGCAAGCATGACATTATAATATTATAAAAATGTATCGTTTAAAAACTCTATTGTATATTAACGTTTGTCAAGAGGAAGTTTTTGCAGTGCTATTTTAAATTTTAACAGTGGCATTATTTCAATTGCATTTGGAATTTTTTTGAATATTTTAGGAGCCAGTCCGAAAAACAAGGCAGACTTACATTTCAAATTGATTAATTGATTCAAGTACACAATTTATTGGGCACGTATTGCAGTTTTCTTGACTGCTGATAATTTAGTATATATGATAATATATAAGTGTAGGATTCTTTTTACAAAAAGTGCAGTTTCTAAAATGTACAGTGCCGGGAAAGTGTTAATAATTTAAAGTGAGGCACACGTATGTTGGTTTTAGACGACATATTGATCTAATGCAGCATTTTTTTGCAACCTGAGTATAGTCTCTCTGTCAGTTGATTGTCCCTCAAAATTAACACCATATCAAAGAATCGAACCTACTAATACCGCATACGTATTTTTTGATAATTGAAAAAATACGTATGCGGATTTACTCATACGCTTACATATATCTTCTGCGTGGGGTGTCAAAGTGAGTTTATTGTCTATAATTAAACCTAGAAATTTATTACTAGTAACCTCTTCTATCAAACAGGTATTTAATGTAATAGAAATAGTTGGATATGCACGACGCTGATGGAAATACATTACTTTAGTTTTGTTTTCATTTGTTATCAAATTGTTATTGTCAAGCCATTTTATGATTTCACATATACATATATTAATATCGTTTCGGTAATTGTTAGGATGAGTGCACTCAATAATTTCGGTGCTTTCATCAGCAAAGAGAACCATTTTATGTTTTATTGCTTTTGCGGTAATAAATACGCACGGTTGCAGTAAAACTTAACAATATTAATAAATATTTATTTGTGTTTTGAATATTGTAATTATTATTTATTATTTATATAAACTAATATTTTAGATTTATCTATAAATATACATCTATATATCTATAAATATTTATCTATAAAATACTAGTCAATGTAAGTATTGAACTACGCAAATAAATAAATAAATTAATGTTTCGCAAACTTTTATATTATATATTTATAACTAGTATATTACACATTTTACTCACAAAGTTCTATAGTCAGTCGCTGTCTTAAATGCGGAAACCGCTTTAACGGACCATAAATTTGACTGAACATAACTTCCGTCCGAAAAAAATCTGAGTTACCCTGAAGTCGCGTTTAAGAAGTTTTACGTCAAAAATTTACATAAATAATTTGATTGTTATTCCACTAACTTGCTGTTGCGCTATCTCTCTTTATTATAATTTAAAACTCAAATAAGTTACTTTAGACCTTAAGCACTGTTAAACAAATATTGTGTTCATTTTCTTTAAGCGTCCATATCTGGGGCGTGACTCTCCTGTATGGCCTCGTGGTCATGGCTTCGAAAGCGTGGGTCCTTTTTCCAAATCTCATTATTTGTCAAAACACAAACACATACACAACACTGACGTAAATTGTGATTGCCTTTGAGTTTCGGTATCCTAGCAAAGCCCATTTTTATCGGGAAAATGTCAAAGCAATACGCGTAACAACTCGCGGGGATAAGACGGGTTTTGCTTACCGACTTTAATCCCGTGGTGTTTCAACTTCGTATCCCTAGCTAGCCGTGGTAACTTAGGGACTAAGCGCTCATTGTAAATTTCACAGTACGCGAGCAGCCTGGGTTCGATTCCCGTAGAACCAACGAAATTGTTAGTTGCAATTTTAAGTGCTGGTTTACCACGTGCTCGGTGGTGAAGGAAAACATCGCATCTCATAAACTACCATAATAACAACTGTGTGATCCAACATAGGTTCCATAAATTATTATAATTAATCTAATTATTTGGAAAAACCAAACTATATGGATTTAGATTAACGTATTTATAATATAATTATAAGGTATCGTACTGTGAGAGACTGCACTATTGCTAATGCACACACTCGTGCACTATAGTCCTGTTCTGCGCAGATGGCTTGTCACCGTTGAGGCAGGTCCGCGTTACCGAAATTAGGTCTGAAGGACATTTTTTTATAGAATAAGAGTGAACACCTAGCTTACAGTCCATCTGATGGTAAGTGGATCTTGTGGCCCATAGACATCAATATTTATCCTCGTTTCAAAATGCTCCAAACGAATCAATATGCAGATGCGTTGACAGCCCTCAGACTAAAATGGAATGCCTCGTTTCCAATAAAGATGGTCTCTAATACGAAACACAGTAGCATTAGGCTGCTATTTTAAGTTGATATTGTGTGGTTATTATATTTACTGCAATCACAAATCAGTGGTAGTTATTAGTGTCTCAGATGAACCGCTTGTTGATGCTGATGAGGATGTTGAGTAGCTACGTATATATATATATATATATATATATAATTTTTTTTTTATATTTGCTTGTTAAGCATATACCTAACATGAACGTCCACCTCCAAAATTCGTATTTTTCTAATCTGTCAAGACCCGTCTCCAATTCTCTGGCTAAGGAATGTAAGCCGGCCGTTAGGTAGCGTACGATGTCACTCAGAATTCTCGCTGAGCTGTGAACTTTGTCTCTGCGATTTTCAATGTCTCGGAGAAGATCTGAAAAAAAAAAGGTTTTAAAATTTATTGGTTTCTAAGTTTGCTCTTTAAATTTTACTTACGTTGCTCTTAAAATTATTTACAATTTGATAACGAATATGTACACACATAACTCAATCTAACCGTTACCTAACACAAACATAGCGAAAAGATTGAAGAAACATCGACAACTACAATACATAGGACAGACAAGAAAACCATAATTTTTTTTTATTCATTCATTCATTACAGCCCTGCGCATGTCCATTGCTAAACTAAGGCTTCCCTGAATCCATCGACTTCCTGCATCTCTTAACGGGTCCTCACTTCCTCTGGTGGGGGGATGCCCTACATATCGCTTACCGGTACGAAGCTGCCACTCACGAATCTTTCTTACCCGATTCTTCGAGCTTTATGACCGGCCCATTGCTACTTCAACTTAATCCGTTGGACTACGTCGATTGCTCGGGTTCTACTGCAAAATGTTGCGTGCGCATACATTTATGCTCCACAGGTATCGTGTTCAACTTCGCAGCCTAATGACTAGTACTTTGACGATGTATTCATTAAAGAAATTTTGATGACTTTTGAGATTCGCTTGAATTTGTGCGACAATTATTTTATTTTAACCGACAAAAAAGTTAATTCTGACTTATTTCGGTAAACCAACTCTTAGCCAGCCAAAAATGTTTCTTTTAAGTAGTAGCTCAAATGAAGCTCTAATAAACGTCAAAATCTACTTACCAGTAGTAAGCAGTAACAGATTTTGACTTTCATAAAGTTAGAAATGTATATAGAAATCCTACTAAGAAACCATTGTGTCTTGGTTTATGTACTTCTGTTAAAAGATATATACATCTGAAAAAAAAATTGCCAGTAATGACTTATGGATCCGAGACGCTGTCCTTCTCTACTGGCCGTATTAGGACGCTCAAGGTCGCTTAGCGAGCTATGAAGAGGGCTATGCTTGTGTGGTAAAATTAGAAATGAAGATATCTGCAGTAGAATCAGAGTAACCGACATAGCCCAACGGATTAGTAAGCTGAAGTGGCAATGAGCCGGCTATACAGCTCAAAGAACCGATAGCCGATGAGGAAAAAAGATTCTCGAGTGGCAGCCTCGTACAGATAGGTGAATTGTGATGCATCCCCCACCAGATGAAGTGACGAACCGGTAAGACACGCAGGAAGACGATGGACGCAGGTGACTGCCGACCGTGCTTTGTGGCATTCCTTGGGAGAGGCCTATGTTCAGCAGTGGACTTGTGAAGGGCTGTAACGATGAATATGATGTAAAGTTACAGCCTATATACGTCCCACTGCTGAGCACAGGCCTCCCCTCATATCTGAAAGGGTTTTAGGGCAAGGAACTGTCCGCCGCGCTGCCCCAATGCACGTATTGCGTGTTTTTTCTTATTCCTCAGACATGCAGGTTTCCTCACTATGTTTTCCTTCACCGCCGAGCACGTGGTAAATCAGCACTTAAAATTGCATTTAACAATTTCATTGGTGCCGGCGGCTATCAAACCCGGGTTACTCGCGTTCTGTTATATTTACAGCGAGCGTTAACCATCTGAGCTACCACGGCTCTTATGATCTTATGATGATGATAATGATGAAACGAAAATAATTACACAACACGTCACGTCATGTCACGGTACATTTTATTGTTAAATAAAAAGAAAAACAGAGAGCATGCATAATATTCACACAAACGCTAAGATCGAAAAAAGTATCCACGCGTCGGGTATCCAGAATACTTTTCGATGCACAGAAGAAAATCAGACTGAATATTTTCGTAGCCTCGAGGTATTGTACATCTGTTGCTATAAGATTCTGATTGTTTTTGGCGCGAATTATAACAATGACCAAAATGTAGCTTCACTATTACGAAGGCGAAAGAAATCGATTATTATATAAAAATGGTCTATGACTTGGAAAATGCCATCATCTCATTTCACGCACATACTTCTCAAGCGATACCCATACACTATTATACATATTTAGATAATATGGCTTTGTATCATATTTTATAATAGCAACATTGTTTAATATACCTCCTTCTGATATTGACAATAATGCTTATGACGGATGGATTAGATTATCCTTCCTTGTCACAATGGCCGTGACTAAGTTAAGTCAATTAATCAAACTCGAACTTCTTATAATCAAGGACGTTGTTTTAGTGTACTATTCTCTACTTACTAAGATGATATGCTTATAAAAATGTTGATCTTATGTATGAATTATATTTTAGAGAAATGATTTCAGTGTTTCCTTTAATGACTAAAAGAATGTTTAAGAAAAGATCTGAATTCTTAGACTTTTTGTATATATTGTAAAATTTATGATATTTGTTTTGGTTATAAGAATTTTTTACTTATATTGGAGTTTGAAACGAAGTAGCTATCCACCTGACTGTAAGTGGCAGTTGGAGCCAATGAAGGACTACAATCAACTTCAAACGAAGGCTATCTTAAGCACATTGCTCAATATTTCCTCTCCATTAAAATAACGGCTGATCACCGCCTTCAGTATAAAAACGTTACCTAATAATTTTTTAATAAACCATTGAAAATGCTGTCATCTATACTTGAGTATCTTATTGTAGAACCTATGTGACTATATAAAGAGATTATCTAACAAAATTTTTGGTATCTGGAGTATTATAGATTTTGGTAACTTCCAGTTAGAGCCCACATTTGTGTTAGTTTATTGAAATTTTAAACCTATATATTATGAGGAAGAATGGTGAAATATTGTTTCTACTGGACTTGCTTAGGTATGGAGAGTGTTGATGTAAGGTTAGGATAATTGTGATTGCAGAAAGTGTTGGTTATGTAAGGAAGGGAAATATAGAATAAAGAAGGAGAACTTTAAGTTGCTTAAAGAAACTAGGTTACTCGTGGCTGGTACTACTTTCGCTAAACAGCAGAGTAATTGTGGCAATAATGGATGAATATCTGATCATCTGAATTAGTTTTAAGTTCAGCAGTGGTATTTTAGTTTAAATAACGTAACGTAGCTAGACAATGTTTAGACTTACTCAGTAATAGGTTAGGAAGAACTTTCCCTTCTATATAAATTACTTACTATCTCTTACTTGCTTGGTTTGTGTTAAAATAACTGAAGGCAGAGCACGCAACTCTTGCTTTGCAGCAGAAATTGCAAGCGTCAGATTGTCTACGCCTAAAGTTCGTAGCTCCAACAACTGCTGTTCCTTTAGTATCTAGAACACAAAAGACAATAAGAATTATTATAATTAAATTACTTTTTAAAACAAAAATGTGGCAATTGTGAGACACGGTGTTCCTTTACTATACAATTATACATCAGGTGACTAATTTCAGTTAGGCTTATCTTGTAAAAAATCTACGATTTTATTTAATATTCAACAAGGTGATAATTTGGCAATTAAATTTCAAATGAAATTTATTTGTAGACGATATCAATATCACTTTTCGAAGTACCCCACGTTTTGTTGCAGTGTCACCATTGAGTTATACAAAACAATGTCACCAACAAAGGTGATTGATAGGGGGTAGTGCTAAAAAATTTACCATGACATATTATCGAAAGAAGATAAAAGATTCATATCAAAAACCTAACATAAAATGGATGACCTTTGGCAAATTATATATGAACCGCTTTAATTTCTTATAATGACCGCTAAATTTGAATAATGTAGCAACATTCAGCACAGTCAAGTTGATATGCAGAAATATCTTTTTTAATAATGACAATAATGTGTTTGACTACAAAACGTCGAGTCAAAAAAGTTGCTTGTCTGCTGAAGTTGTACTTAAAAAGATAACTAAAATCAAAAATCACCAACCAACACTACAAATGATTGGCTGACTATTATTCTACTTGCAAATTGCGTGGCTCAGAGCTGTGTGGTAATTGATAAATTTGTGGATCAGACCTTTATTCCAAGAGAGCAACTTCCTTTGTAAAATGCCTATATTTCTTGAGTTTTGTCTAAGAAATTGTAAATGCACTTATGGAAAACTTTGCGATTCTCCTTTATGCTTAGTTTTGTAGTTTCAAATTTTGTCAAATCCAATAGAATTATGGCCATAAAATAGTGATATTTTTGTCATAAATTTCTTACTAATCATTTTGCTTGATTACGGAAATTCAATGGATATATAATTTTTTATTCTTACGGCTTGCTATTTATAGCATCTGAGTACTGAGCGCGGCTCATCATCACATCAAGTTTGCCTGGTTCAAATCCAAAGTGAAGCCAACGTTCGTTCTAAATCACAGATTATTAACTATCGGGATTCAAAATTTGTGTAAATGGAATGGTCTAGACTCAAAATATTGACATTACGAGGTTTAAGTTTAATTGGAGGTTGTCTCTGAATACCAGCTTCAGTGATTTGGAAATTACATTCTAATTTATCTCTGTTATTATCGCATTACATCTGAAATGGGTAAGTTAAGTGACAAAAAATTACATCTATACTGTGAAAAAATTAGCACTCCTGAGCAACTCTTAAGTGGTTATAGCTTTCAATATTATCCAGAATTTGTCGCTTACTGGTACGAGGCATCTACTTGATCATCATTGATATTCATCTTCCCTATTGTAACATGCATTGTTTGTACAATCTTATTACAAGAAATATGTAACGAGAAAAGTGTGGAAATTTTCCAGTCGCTGCCCAGCCTATTTGGATCCGCCGATTGACCTTTTATTTAAAGTTGGGCTTAACTAATTGAACCCTTTGTTCTAGGTTGATATAGTCGTCAAAAACTTCAAGCGTAGTGTTCCAAAACCACTACTGGTATGGGTGTGACATAAAACGTTGCAGAAACAGAAACAGAAACTTTTTTATTCAATGTACTCGTAGATTATAAATAATACTTAATGAAAGTCACTTTTTTAATTTACCACTGGTTCGGAAAAAAACCTCTGTCCTCGGAAGAACTAGCAAGTAACTTAGCGGGACTTACATATAATCTGTGTCTTGTTCATTTTCAATTTAAGACCTATCCGTTGGGAGACACTAATCAGGTCATTGAGCATACTACAAACGTTCTTGGGCAATTCTGTTTTAAGAAATGTATCGTCGGCAAATCTAAAGTACGGGATGTATTCGCTATTAAATCTTCCTGCATTGGAAGATTTTCAGAGATAACGTCACTTCTCTGCTGTTGAATCGGGCTCGTACTCTGGTTCTGTACTCGGATAGCCATCGCATCGTAGTATTACTGTAGAAACTCTTCAGCAATTCAATATACTGACAGTGTAAAATTCATAAACTATGTTACCTTTACAGCCTATCAAAAGTCCACTTCTGAACCATACGAAAGCCACCCTACAAATTGTCTCACATCAAATATGGAAAATATCTGCATATTTGTCATAGTTCGCAATTATTTATATTTCAGTTCAGGAAACGCAGCGGCTCATCTCCCCGTTTCTTTCCCCTGTGGTCTCTTGCGATTTCCACGTGACGATATGGGATATTGGATGTTCTTAAATCTCCACTAGACGGTCAAAGCATGTTCAAAAGATAGGCAGATATAGGATTAAAAGATTAAACTGTGTATAAATTCCTTAATAATTCAGTAGTATAATCGTATATAGATTTATACGTTTTAAAACTAGACGACCTTTAAGTATTAAGTCATAGGTAATTTTTATTCTTACAAGTTATATTATTTTATTACATTGTCAAAGTGATTCTCATAATTTATTATGAATTTTGACCTCTGTGTAGACGAATTCAAAAATATCTCTTGATAAATAATACTGACCAAAACTTTGTAGTTTCCTTTACCTTTTAATTGGTTTTACTTACTGCTTATTTTTGTGATTATACAGTGTGTCCGGTCACCGATTAGCGATATTATAGGTACTTTTTTTAATACAAAAATACACTACACACTGAGGTCTAATCCCCTTCCTCCCGACAGCCGTTTTGTTTTACTTGAGATATTATCTACGTGTGTACAAAAAAATCATATCTCTCAAAGTTTTGACCTTTCTGAGATAAAAATAGGCTCATTCGGAGGACAATAATATTGTCTATTGTTTACATGAGAAGGTACAACACTGTACATGAGAAGGTAAACTTAAATGCCAGGATATTTTTTTTTACTTTTATTCTGTCTGTCGCTATATTGGCGTTGAAACTACTGAATGAATTTTGTTGAAACTTGACATGTTATGTTTTATATTCTGGAATAACATGCAATACATATTTTTCGTTTGTTACTTCAGTTTCAAAAAAATATGTACAAGATTATGACCCAATGCACAGGAAGGCTGCAGAACTAAGAGCAGATGCATTAAGTATTCTATAGTTATCAATGTCTACATTGTGTCAATGTCTAGACGTGTGACTGCACGACAAGACAAACGTTGTTGGCAGACATAAAGTTTGCATGTCAAATTTTCAAACGCGTTGTATGCGCCGAAACTCCCACCGAACAAATTTTTCTTTGAATTCGGTGGGCTTATAATACTATTAAGAAACCTGAGCATAGAACCTTTTTTTGAAAATTGACCTAGAGCAGGAACGTAGGCAATAGAGGCGGAGGTCCTAATGGGGTGTGATGCTGAGAGACATGACTTTGATTATTAAATTAAATTCATACGGTGTAATATATCCTACAAATTCCCTTTCCGCTTTAAGGCAATTTCCAGTTAACGTATGATTCGCAATGACAAATATTAAAATATGGGGAGAGATATTGCACAGGGGGCGTGGATATTACCACTAGCAGCAGCCACGGTCAGTTGCCTTCTAAGCGTGGCAATTATATCAACTATCCACCTTATGAGCTAATGTTTGTGGAGGCTTACCAATACCGGGTGATTTTTGTACCATCTGCAAAAAAATAGGGTGTGAACAAAGAAATGAGAAAACAGAAACGTGTGAAAAGAGAAACAGGTGAACGGGATAGGAGCCTATGTCACTTACATTATATATATATATATATATATATATATATATATATATATATATATATATATAAAGCAATATATATATATATATATATATATTTTGCTTTAACATATTAAGAAATTGATCTATCAATCAATACTACTAATCTGAAATAATCTTTCGGTACTATAAATATATTTTGTTAATTAAATAAATAAATCAAAGAAAAACTATCGAAATTAAAATAATATGGACCCAATTAGTAGTACACCTGTTACGCCCTATTTATTCCAGACAGTGAAAAAGATCACCTATCAGCAATGGAGTTTGATAGTAGTGATGCAACGGAAGTATCGTATCGGAAGCAGAAACGGAAACAGATGTTAATAATATTTTTTTTTGTAGAAACGGAAACAGAAACGGATGCGGAAACGGAAATAGTACTTATTAAAAAAATACAAATAAAACTTTTTTTAACATTCAGAATTAAGTAACTAACCTAACAGTCTGTTCCGGTGTTCTTCATATTATAAGTCCAGTTCCGATAAATAATTGCTCGCTGGCGATGCTGCGTATACATCACATTTAAATTGACACTAAAATATAGGCAGACCATTTAAAGAGCCACGTTTAAGTTTAGCGAGTAGGTAATTTAGTACAACCCTAGCACGAAAGTACGATGTAAACGAACTTTGAATCCAAAATACTCATAAGTGTCTTTAAAAATAATTAATATAGGCTTCAAATAAAAATAAATAATATAAACTTTACGTAAAAAAATAATATAAACTTTACGTAAAAAATAATTAATATAAACTTCACGTCAACATAACTCCTGCCTAATTAATTTTACAAATCTTAGTCGTAACATAGGCATTTAGCAAAAACTAGTTTTAACTAGAGAAAACACGTTTTAACTAAAAACGTTTTTACTATAACAGAGGAATACATTATATAAATAAATAGGTATGTAAGATAGGGATGCAAGTTTTACAGTTTCAACTAACTTCTCAAACTCTGCAAACTCTTCGGCATGTATTGCTTTAAGAAGGCTGTTTAAAGCGGTAGTTGTGCGTTCTTTCCGCGAGTATATTTTGTCACATAATTTACATCTAGCTTCTTAATCAACAATCTCAACATGATAGTTCCAAACCTTACTCGTTTTTGGCTTCATGATTGCACTTAAGTGTGTAACACGACTCAAATTACTAATTAACTAAAAAACAGAAAATCTTAAGCACTTATCCACACATCACGCCGCATAATAAAATTTAAAAAAGTAAGTAAACAAACCCGTTGGGACAAGTGCCGAAAGCACGTACCCAGCTCGCTGGTGGTTAGCTAAAATGCTCCTTCCCACTCTTACACGTGCTCAACTATTAAACGATGCGGCGTACCTCGTCCGCTACGTCACATGAGTAGATAAACGGAATGTTATCTACTCATATGGCTGCGTCGCTGAGTTCCGTTCAAACTTCCGTTATAAAACTTGCGGAAACAGAAGCAGAAACGGATGTTGAAAATCATGCAGAACTTCCGCAGTTGCGGAAACAGAAACAGAGTTCTGTTGCATCACTATTTGATAGATTGCAATGATAATGACGTCCTTACTTCCTTACTTTTATTATGGTTAGCATTTTTCCGATAAATTAATACGGTCTTTATTTTCTAAAACATAACAGTTATTTACCGAGTTGAATTGCAATTTTAGCTCCAAGGCATGCGTGTTGAGGGTGTCACAGAGAGGCGTATCCTTTGGAAAACACTGTTTCCTTAGGCCGTCTATCTGGTACGCGAGGTCGTTTATCTTGTCTGATGCGACTGCTGCCAGGGCCACCGCTTTCATACTTATGTTACGAAGGGAGGCCACTTTCGTTGACAGATCTTGACTTTCTAGAAGTGTTTATATTTTGTTAGTACATAATATACATTTAATTGGTTGTTATTAATGTTAAAATTATTATTTAGGCGATTATTAGTTTCAACAATAAATTAAAGTAAAATTTTATCTTTTTATGCGCTTTGCTAATGAGCTTGACCCGTAGGTATGTATCTAACTTTATAATTCAGTTTCTTTATAGATACCTTTTTTCTTATTAGTTTTCAGCCGCCTGTAATTTTTATGTTTTTAGTTATGGCTCTATTGAGATGCTTCGTCATATATGATCTTTATACTCGTAAAATATGTCATTTAGCTTAATATTTTAACAAATGAAAACGTATAATTTACCTTTTACATAAATAAGGTGGGAGAAAAATTAAAAGTTGTTTCCCAGCACCAACCTTAATAAGATAATTTGTTATTTACTTGCTAAACTATAATAATTTAATTTCTTTAAATAATATTTTTTAACAACCTTAGTTAAAGTTTTAATATCTTACTAAGGAAGTTTTGTAAAAAAAAAATATGGAAGACAACGGTGTGTGCTAATTTAACCTAGGTAAATTTTATTTCTGCAATTGTAAGTCACTTGGCTACCGATATATTTTCAAAATAGACATTTAAAAAAATTTGATTAAATGCATTTGACCTTAAATTGTAAAAAAATTACACAGTATTTAGAAATAAAAGATCCATCGTTTCTTGGCGGTTTTTCTATGATATGAACTCTGAGATATTTATGACGAACGTTCAGCAAGCCTTAATTGATTTTTTTAACTTTGACTTTAACTATATGTTGGTCTTCATTATCAAGCAGTTGTACGTTTAGTGTTTCGAAGCTACGTCTAGACGTGGCTAGGCACATTTGACTTGTAAAATTGTACCTGTTATTATGTCAGCCAAGGAATCCAGGACCAGATCAATACCGCTCTCAGAAGCAATCGCTTGTAGAATTGGCTGGCCTAGCAATGTATCTACATCTGTAAATAATCAAATTAATTTAAATTAAAGTGTTTCTAATATTACATCTGAATGGTCCGTGGACTGTATAAATACTTCACCTATTTATTTAATGAAAAGTGAGTACGTATTTATATTATGTTATGCATTGGGACTAGATGTAATTCTTCACCTAGTAATTTTTGGGGAGAAGTTGTCAATATTTTGGTCATCATCAATTTAAAAAAAAATCTTACGCGTTTTACAACATGCATTCGACCAATTCTTATTTATGAAATATGAAATTTATATTGAAGATTAAAAATAAATAAATATTCCACAAGGCTGCGTGCTATGACAGCTTGTAGTCATAAGTTTTCCGTTATTGTAATAACTTTGTTCAAATGCAATAAAGAGTTATCTATCTATCTATCACCAACGCTGTTTCTTTTGCATGTCAATGATATGTTGCAAACTGGTAACATTCATTGATATGCAGACGACAGCATTGGTGATGCCTCATACCCCGGCCGTGCCGTGATCTTTTTCAAAGTCTTGGATTTGGGGCGACTAAATCTAGTCCAGTTCCCCAGAAAACACAAGTTTGCGCGTTCACCGCTAAAGAGAACCTCTTTGTCGTATCTCCTCAGTTTCAGGGCACTCCCCTTGCCGCAACATATCGTATAGTGTGCAGTTTCGTAGTCACTTGGAGGGGAAGGCCTTTAAAAAGCTTGGCGTGCTCAGCAGAGCGAGACAGTATTTCATGCCGGCACATCGCCTGCAACTCTTTGGGCCGGGGCACTCCAGTGCAAGCTCATTCCACTTGACCGAATCCAGAGCAGAACGGTTCGGATCGTCGACGACCAAGTTCTTGCTGATCGGCTCGATTCACTGGCACTGCATAGGAATGTTGCATCCCTTTGCGTTTTCTATCGCATCTGCCGCGGGTAGTGTTCTGAGGAATTATTCTGAATAATTTCAGCCGCCAAATTTCAAGAACCTACATGGCTTCAAAGTTCACGGTACCATCCTTACCAACTGGATGCTTGGCGGTCCACCAATGTGCGTTTTACTAGGCCGGTAACGCACCTGAAATTCCCCTGGTGTTGCGGTTTTTCATGGGCGATGGTTGTCACTTACCATCAGGTGAGCCTTTTACCCCCTCTTTTATAAAAAATATAACAGCCTACACAGGTCTCACTACTGGGCACATACCTTCCCACAAAATTGTAAGAGTTTTAAAGGCAGATCAATATTTTTAAATTTTTTCCTTAACGATGTTTTTATTAACAGCCGAACACGTGTTGTCAGCACTTAAACATGTAATAATTAATATAAACGGAGAGAACTCAAAACGATTTACATGTGATATGATAACGTTAATGTGGATATAGTTGCTACATGAGCTGTCACATGAACTGTTCGATTTTTTACATTTTTCATAAGATAAAAATAAAAACACCTTTAAAAATACGTCGTCAACAAGAACTAAAGAATGAAACATTAATTTTGATTTACTTTTTTACGGTTTCATTGCTATGTAAAAAAAAGGCCTCTTCTCATTTCTGAGAGAGTTTTACCGCCGCGCTGCCCCAATGTGTGTTGACGGACTTCACACATCTTCGAAATATTTTTTTATGATATTTTCCTGCACCGCCGAGCACGTGGTAAATTAGCACTAATATTGCAATTAACAATTTCATTGGTGTCGGCATTCCTCTGTAAGTTACACATTTAAATATTGATTTAGTGTGTTTTATTTAATGATTTTATTCCTTATTATGATTTTTTCATTAAGTTAATTATGATGGTCTAAGTTGTAAAATAAGAATAAGACGATAGATATATCTTTGAACTTGTTTCTATGCTAAAACTTTAGATAATAATTTATTTTACGCAATAATTACATTTCAGGAGATTTGCAGACGTTCAAACATATTAAAAAACGCCACAACAACGACGCTTTAACAGCCTGTGCACGTCTCGCAAAATCATTATGTTGGTAAAAATAAAATGCAACAAAAAATTAAGTTTTAATAAAATGTAAAAATCGACTTCAAATAATTAGAAATAATATAATAACAAGTGGTAAAATTATAACCAACTTCAATACTCAATGTACTCGAAGTCAATTAAATACCCATTACTAAAGATAACTCAAAAATTACTGGTCAGATCTTGATTAAATTTATATGGGACTACACTATTCGAGAAAAATCATCAAAATCGGTTAACCCAGAGAATAGTTTTGAGGTAACCATACATAAAGAAAAAGAACATTCAGTCGAATTGAATACCACCTCCTTTTTGAATTCGGTAAAAAATAAAAAGTAGAGAGAAAGAGTAGAGAAAAATTATTGCACCCTCGCTTCAAAATGCGAAATTATTATTTTTTAGTTCTTTACAGTCGGCTTTTGTTTTAAAAAGTTATTTGTTTTGGCCTATGGGTGGACTAGGTAATCTCAATGTCTTCTAAGTAGTAAATTTAAAAACGTTACTCCTATTTTGTCACACTTAGAAAGAGTTTTTTTTTCTCTGAATGTCCAATACACATTCCAATACACAACCCCTAAAATATAACCTAATTATAAAATAAGGGATAATCAAAATTGCTTATCGCATAAAATACATACATATAGGGCGACCCCCCACTAGATGGAGTGACAACCTGGTAAGATATGCAGGAAGTCGATGGATGCAGGTGGCTTAGGACCGTGCTTTGTGGCATTACTTGGGGGAGGCCTATGTTCAGCAGTGGACTTGTGAAGGGCTGTGATGATGATGATGATGATGATGATGATACATACAAAATAAAAGTATTTTTTTTATTATTTGTTAGAATTGCTGCACGTAACAATAAAAGAGAAGGTGTTTTCGTTGGGAGAAATTTAATTTCGAAAGGGCACACCGCCGTAATATACTGTAATGTACTTTTACGCTTATGAGCGCCGTTTGCTACAGAATAGATACAATACGCCTTCTCATATGAACAGGCATCTATATGAACGTTTACTCATATTCGTGTAGAAAGTAAACAAGTTTTCGAAGCATCTTTATCAGTTTGCACTGCGCAGAAGGTAAATAAGACGTATATTTCGCCGGAAGGTTTTATTACGTCTCTTCGTATCTGTATAATATATTACGTTCCATCAACGTGTTTGTAGCGGAAACTTACGGTTTGCTCTCTGCATTATCAAGGGCATCACGCTTTTTTGGCAGGGATAGGCTCGTTAACCGTATGTGGAAACTCAAATAGCTGTTTGATATTGGCGGGCAAACAAATTTTGTTGGGTCCAAAGAATATAAGGGGCTCTTGAAAGAGTTTGTTTGTTACAAAACCGATATCTAGAATTTATAGATGAATGAGCTTTGGTACAATAGTGCGAACTTGTTCTTATCTTGCTTATATTTCCATAAAGGTTCTCGGTATTATGATGATATGAGAAATATTTACTTTTACAATGCAATATTTAATTTGAAAGCTACAAAAACGTTTTTTGAAAAGAGAAACAAAATGTGGTTTTCATTATTTCAAGTCAGGAAAGAAATGCATTTCTGTGAATCAAATTTGACATAGATCATAGAATTATGTTTTGTAATTTTTTTTAGGTCACGTCATTAGATTTATTTAAAGAATTATGGGGGATATAACATTTTATCTGATGGTAAGTGGATGCTACGGTCTATTGATACATAAAACTATCATCGATGTAACGATTAAAATGCGGAGGCATGTTTCCTCAAGGCTAAGAATAGAATACATTTGTGTTCAGAACACATTTAGGGCACTACATAATTTGACATCGTGATCCAAAATCGGTTGGAAGTCATTATTGTGTTTAGCTTATATACTCTTATATGATGGTGGATTTTAATTATAAATTGACTTCGTAATTAGAATAATCAATTATTTAGCGGTCTGTGTCATTAAAGTTCATAAAATGCATATAACCGCAGAGCATTGCGAAAGTGCGGAAGCTTTATATAATAAGCATCTTGTACGCACGCACGAAAATCGGGCATGGTGATATTATTTTGAGTGATACTATAGGTGGAGCCCGTGGGTGTGTACACACACAAGTTTGAGACGCTTGAAGAAGCTTTCGTAATTTCGTTTACTATGCTGCTACTCCTAGAACATAAGGTAAGGTTCTTAAAAAACATTAAATTAAAAAAACTGCAATCTTAGAAGCATTTTTTTTATGTAAAGGCAATGCGATATTAAATTTTTGGGTAGGTTTTATGTTATTCATATGTAATTAATTCATTAATACCGTTATTTTTATATTGATAATAAAAAGGAAAAAATATATTACTTACTTTTTAAATCTTCTTGATAAGCGTAAAAAACTAGATCTATCGGCGGAACCAGACTGTGATGAAGTTCGCGGGCAGCGACCGCCAACCATGCGGCTATATCTGCGCACGCACAGTTGACTACGTTGCGGCTGCTGGTTGCTGCCATATGTGACTGTTCATTACTTAATATCATGCCGGCTATAAGAATGCTGTGAACAAAAACCACTTTTCTAAAAATGATAAAACAACTAGCGTCTCTTGTATTATTTTAAGCTGACTTTAAAAAAATAATATATACAAATTAAAAATTACAATTGTGTGAATTGTGTTTATATTTTTAGTCTTAGTCTTTTTATGTAGTAAAGTCCTGAGCTGGCTGAAGCTATATTATTATGGTTGTAGCACGAATGGGTAGGCTCGATCGGGGAAGGACCAGGCTCCCATAGAATACCATCGTAAAATAACAACATAGTGTTGCTGTGTTCCGTATGGTGATTGTAGATACCCTTTCTACAAGAGACGAAACATTCCACTTTAGTTCACAGAGGTGACAATGCATCTGAATTTTAATTCTTAATCAATGATAGACGTAGATGTCTGTGGACTACAGCATCCACTTATCATTTGGTGGACTGTGTACCCGTTTGTCATCCTTATTCAGTAAAAAAAAAGTCTGGTTATTAACAAAAACTTATTAAAACATTTACTTTGCCCCCCTAATACAAAGCAAAGTTACACAGTAAATTGCCCCTACTTATTTATCTGCTGTAAAATGCACATTTCCATTAATTAAATTTATATCATATTATGTTTATTTCTTTAAATGCTACTTACATCCCTTTACTATCCAAATATTAGTCCTCCTATACTATGTAAAAGTTTATTTAGAAAAAATGCCTTGATAAGACACGTCCCACTAAACCATCACTGACGAAGGATGATGACCATGTTGTACCTTTCCGACCACTTGAGCAGCTTCTTTAGAACTATGAGCGTACACTTTATCACTTTGCTTATTGTAATTCTCTTCAATCGTGAAAATTTTTTCATCAGTAAAGATGATATTTGTGTGCCCTTCACCTACGTATCGCGACAGAAGGCGTTTTGATCGATCCACTCTCTTTAATCGTAAAGATTGATTTAGGGCGTGTCCTGTATATCGACGATAAGCACCAAGCTTCAGGTCTTGTATTATAATACGCGCCAGAGTGCTAGAGGGAATCTTCATTTCTTGCGATAAAATATTTTGCTTCCTAATGAGATTTCGACGAATTCTGTCTTTAACAGCATTAACAGCATTTGTAGTTCTAACAGCACGCGGCCACCCCTATCTTTTATGGTCTTCGATAGAGGAAGTGGAGTTGTATTTGTTGAGAGTACGATATACGAACATACGGTTGATACCAAGCTTTTGAAGTGCCTGGAATATGACCGACAGCTCCATACCCACTTTGTGCAAGGCGATCACCGCAATCCTACTTTCTTTAACACCTTATTCCATATTGTAATTTGATAATAAACACAAAAAAATATGTGAAATGGCGCAAAATCGAAAGCACTTTTTAAAATAATGAATGCGTTCCAAATTCAAAATAATTAAAAAGTTGAAAAAAATAAAAGTTTTTATGTAACAGTATTTATGGCCAGACTAGTTAGTAGTTATAGTAGGTTATCGCAATTTTTCAATGTCGATAAAGTCACGAATGGAAATTTTTTTTCATTAACAGCTTACCAACATAATATCACGGCGAAAAACGTCATGAAAACCAACAACTTGTCACCCCAATTTGATTTAGTTGTCTCAGGGAATAAGGCTCCCGTTTCTATTTCATCGCCGCTACTTGAACTTGATATAAGTGCCAAGATACCCAAAATGATGAGGTATGAAGGTATTACTAAAGCGATACAGATGAAGACCACGATGAATGCCAGGAACGTGGACTCTAATTTAATTGACTGCAAAAAGAGAAACCATATTAATTTAGTTTTGTTTTTTCTTATTTTAAAAGTCGTTTTAAATTTTAAACGTCTTAGAAGTTCGCTGCAGATATATTGTGGTTGCAGCACCTATGGGTCGGTTCGACCGGAGGAGGACAACGCTCTCACCGAATACCAGCGTAAAATAGCAACTTAATGCTGCTGTTATTTGTATGGTGAGTGTAGAGAACAGGAGACCGTTTTTACTGGTAATGAGGCATTCTATCTTAGTCCTCAGGGTTGACTACATAGCTTATTTGATTCTTAATCGAGGATTACGTACTTATGGGTGTCTATGGACCACAACATCTACTTACCATCAGTGGACTATATGCTCTTTTTTCAACCACATTCTGTAAAATTTTGTACGTTGTGTGATGTTTCTGTGACATTTGATACCATGACAGCTTATCAAATAAAAGTGATGACATGATTTATCATATCGATCTGATTCAGTCATATTATTGCAACAAGCACGCTAAATGCTAGATGGGGTAACGACTTGGTTAGAGATGAAGAAAGTCCATGGATGCAGGTGGAAGGAACTTTTGAGGATACCTACGATGATGATTATTATCATATTAAATATTTTCTAAAATAAGGCACTGCATCAATTTGAAAGACAAATTGTTAAATTGTAAAGATAATAAATTATTTTAACCCTCCTTCAATAAAAATTATTGTTACATTAATTATTATTATTTAATTATGAAATATTGATTAAAACTACTTTTACGGATTTTATCGCGTTTAATTTTACTTTTAATTATTTTTATTTTTAATTCCCGACGTTTCGGGCGCTTTCCAGCACCCATGGTCACAGGGGACTGCGGTGACTGACGTCCCGATGTCATCGTTAAACCCGGAGTACCTTCAGCTTTTTTAATTATTGTTTATGGTCCGATCTATGCAAAATGAACTATATATATATATATATATATATATATATATATATATATATATATATATATATATATATATGTTCATGGGGATGAGTCGCTCGCGTCCGTAGGCTTCGACCACCTAACCTTAGGCCCACCCTACACGTGTCCCCCGGGTGGTGCTAAACGAGCGACAAAGCCGATAAAATAGACTCGGCTCCTCGCCGTATGGTAGCGGCGTAAAATCTACCACCAACCCTTGTTCGCACCATGACTCAAGAAATAAAAGAAATGGCCCCGAGTTCCCGGCGCCCTTTAAATGGGGCAGGGGTGCGAAGAATCTCCGGGAGAAAAAACCGGCGACGAGGTTCGCCACCCGTCACGTTTTGTCTCCCGGAGGGGCGAAAAGTGGATTGCGGAAACCCGTCTGGCTACGCTGAATGTATGTGGAAGAATGAATGATAAGATGGATGAAGTATGCGAAATGACGAATGACAGAGGAATAGATGTGTTATGTGTGAATGAGACGAAACGAAAGGGAAAGGATGCCACTGCACATGGCACGTATACCGCGTATTGGTCTGGTGTAGGCGAGACCGAACGGGCATGCCAGGGAGTCGGTTTCATCCTTTCAGAAAGAATGGGTCAATGTGTGAAAGAGTATGAATGTGTAAGCCCGAGACTGCTATGGATACGAATGAAAGTGGGCTTAAAGAAGCTGTTCCTGCTAGGGGTGTACGCCCCAGACATGTCTAAGCCCACTTACATCCGAGAGCAGTTTTGGGACGTGGTAAGGATGGTGTTGACAAAATGTAAGGAAAATGAAAATATTATTATGTTAGGAGACTTTAATGGAAGGGTTGGGGTGAAGAGGTCTGATTATGAAAGGATATTGGGAACGTTTGGTGACGAAAGTATAAATGAGAATGGTGAAGACCTCCTCACCGTATGTGCGGAAAAAGAATCTTTTTGTGACGAATACTTTTTTTCGTCATAAGAAGATTCACGTGTATACATAGGAAAGAGGTGATGATAGAAGCATGATAGATTTCGTAATTGTGGATGAAAGAATGAGGAGCGCAGTCGTAGATACAAGGGTTTACCGGGGGTCCAACGTAGGGACGGATCATTACTTGGTCTTATGTCGAATTAATGGTCTTTTCAAGCGTTGGCAGCATCGGACATCTGTATCTACCACTGCGTTACAGCGTATAAGAATAGAGAAGTTACAAGATGAAGATGTGATAGAGAAGTATAAATGTAGACTGAGAGAAAATATTAGATGTTTGAATGAGTTGTGTATGAATGATTTAGACTTGAATACTGTGTGGGATAATATTAAGAAAGGTTTGGTGGATACCGCCACCGAAGTATGCGGTGTAAGTAAGAGAACAAATGAAAGGAAAAGTAATACGTTATGGTGGGATGATGAGGTACGGGTGGAAGTTGAATCAAAGAAGAAAGCATGGTTAGATTTACTAGCAACCAAAGCTGATAATTCTTCTGGTATGAATGATGAGATTGAAAGAAAAAGGCAGAATTTAGACGTCTAAATAAGAGAGTAAAAGAAGTTGTTGAAAGGAAAAAGAAAGAAAGAACGGATAACAATGATAGAAGGATATCTGATAATTTCCAGGCTAACATAAAAATGTTCTGGAAACTCGTAAGAACTGCCAGGGGAAATACAAAACAGCCTATAATAAATGCTATAAGAGACGAGAATGGATGTATTCTGAATGATGAAGTTTCGAATTTAAACAGATGGAAGGAATACTTTGAAAGCGTGTTTATGAGTGAAGAGTCGTATGAATTAAATGAACTAGAAATTCCGAAAGAAGTGGAAAGGGGTATGGAGATAAGTGTAGATGAAATAATGAAAGCAATGAAAAGCATGAAAGCAGGTAAGGCAGCTGGATATGATAGAGTATCACTCGAGATGCTAAGGGCTGGAGAGGGAGTGGTGGCAGGCCTGCTGTACACCTTGTTTAATTTATGTTGGGAATTAAAACGGGTACCGGATGACTGGTGTAAAGCAGTTATAGTACCAATATATAAAGGAAAAGGGTCACAGCAGGACTGCAAAAACTACCGCGGTATCAGCTTGCTTATTATTGTGGGTAAACTGTATGCTAAGGTGTTAATTGAAAGAGTTATGAAAGAAACTGATGGAAAAATTTGGGATGTGCAAGCGGGTTTTAGAAAGGGAATGGGGTGTACAGATCAAGTCTTTTCCATGCGCATGATTGCGGAGAAGTTTTTGGCCAAAAACCAGAAAGTTTTTTGTGCGTTCATGGACTTGGAAAAGGCTTATGACAGAGTGGACAGGAATGTGTTATGGCAAACACTGAACTCATATGGGTTGAGCGCTGGTTTGATACAGGCATTAAGGTCTCTTTATAGGGACTCTAGTGCTTGTGTCAGGATCAATGGGGTCTACTCGGACTGGTTTGGCATCCAAAAAGGTGTCAGACAGGGCTGTGTGGCTTCCCCTTGGCTGTTCAACCTATTTATGGACCGGTGTTTGCAAACTTTGAAAGATGAAGAATGTGGGTTAAGAATGGGCGAGTTAACCGTCAAATGCCTTTTGTATGCCGATGATCAAGTCATACTTGCGTCATCGGCGGCAGAGTTGCAAATGATGGTTACATTAATGAACTGGGAATTAAAAGAAAGGGGAATGAAAGTGAACGCAAGTAAGACGAAGGTTATGGTTTTTGAAAGAGAAGTAAGCAAAACGGTATGTGAAATAAGAATAGAAGGAGAGTTGATTGAGCAAGTGGATGAGTTTGTGTATTTGGGATGTGTATTTAGCAGGGATGGTAGATATGATAGGGATATAGAACGACGAGTAAATGCAGGGAATAGAGTGAATGGGGCACTACACTCTATTATGAAGAACCAGAATTTGTCAAAACAGGCACGTATGGTAATTCATAATGCTGTGTTAGTCCCTACTTTAATGTATGGTAGTGAAAGCTGGGTGTGGCAGAAGAAGCACGAAAGTAGAATAAATGCTGTAGAAATGCGGTCTTTAAGGAATATGCTAGGGTGTAATCAGAATGACAGGGTGAGAAATTGCGTGATAAGAGATAAATGTGGTATGCAAGGTGATGTTGTGACCAGGATTAAGAAAGGAATGCTTCGGTGGTTTGGTCACGTAGAAAGAATGAATGAGGAAAGAGTGACAAAGCAAATTTATATGGCAGATGTGAATGGCCGAGTCGGGAAGGGACGCCCTAGGAAAAAGTTTATCGACCAAATTGGCGATATTTTGAAAATGGGCCACGTTAGAAGTACCCTTAACCGACGAGCATGTATGCGTAGATATATGGATGTAAAGGAGGCGAAAGAGGTATGTCAGGATCGTGCCAAATGGAAGTCAGTAGTCTCTGCCTACCCCTCTGGGTGACAGGCGTGAGTGTTTATATTTTATATTATATATATATATATATATATATATATATATATATATATATATATATATATATATATATATATATATATATATAAATACATATCATAATATATGTTATTTATGTTCCTCTGTTTGTATTTTCCGGAGGTCGCGACATGTTACACTCCCGTTCGCTCGGGACCTTAATGGCGGGAAAATTTGCAAGTTAGCAAAAAATTTGCTAACTGGCAAATTTTACTCTATATTTTCACTTTGAGATAATATTTATGGATAAAACTTACAGGAATTCTTGTTGAATGTATAAACTATCGAATAAAATTATTTTTGGTTGCTAGAAATTGTAATAAAATTCATAAATTATCCTTTATAGCATAGTAGTAGTATATACTTCACTTTTAGTGCCAAAATTACTACCAATTTGAATTCTACACTTTTGTTTTTGGAGAAATTTATATGAAAATGTTTGGAAATATGTATATTTTTATGTTTTATGTGTTTCTATTCGTTACTCATACCAAAATATTAGAAAAAAAAAATAAAAATAATAAAATTTATCGGTATGACATTTCGAACAATATTTAAAAAATATTTTTGTGTGAATTTGAAATAAATACAACGTCAAGTTATTTGAAATATGTTAGAAAACTATTTTTTACTTACATTTTACTCTAAAAATAAATGAGAATTTGAAAAATAACACATTTTTGACCCAACCGCCAAAATGGGCCTTCCGGATTTCGAAGTACTTTTGGCAATTTACTTATCACTTTTTATACCACAAATTATATATCTACGTGTTTACTTTATTACAAGCAATATAAAAAAGTATAACACTTTCGTTTTTAGTCTAGACACAATTATAAAATTCTATAAAAAAGACGGAGCACCTTCATCAATGCGACACGTGGAACGCTGAATGTTCAGAGTGATTTGTTTTTTTTTCTAAGAAACATTGCCAGGTTATGGTTTAAAATAAAAGAGCATATCTTTGTATTTGATACTATTATCTATTGCATACAGTCTT